GACAAGAATCAAGTATTACGATTCCAGAGATAAAGGACAATTTCACGGGGTAATTAATTAACTAAAAGGAGCGAAACATTATGAAAGAACGGATGAGTTGTTGAGCGGACAAAGGAACTAAAACAAACTATGCACCTCAAGAGTCTAGAGAAATACGAGCTGGGGAAAACGGTCAAGTTGATAAAATACCCTAATAACCCTGAAATTAATGTATCTATTGTTTTTGAAAGAATGCAAGGAATTTGTAAACTTAAAGCTTCACCGTTACTTACTGTGGAAAGTGGAATTCAGTCAGAATCTGTAGCTGGACATGTGCCATCTTACTATATATAAAGCAAGACGATATATATATATACTCCCTTCCGGCCGACCGAACTATTTTCCTAATATCTCCTAATATAACTTTGATCGAACAAGCCTAAATTCATGATGCACTATAAACTTGATTTGAGACAGAAATTTTAGACAATTTATCTGCTTACGTGTAATTTCAAACTCTTATCAGTTACCATGTCTTTTATCTAATTTTTATCAGCAGATTTATAAATCTGCTGTTCATTTGTAGTTATTACCTTGCTAGTTATGAGTAAATTTTTGCCTTCCATCAATTGAGTGCAGCTTTCAGTTTTAAAATTTTCAGTTTATTCAGATTTTTCGTTTTCGATATTGCAAATTTTTAATAAATCATGTTCAGATTATGGTGATAATGGATGTAAAGGTACTTCAACCGAATTAACAATCCAACCGTGTGTATGACGTGTCCCAGTAGCCAATCATAATATATATATATTATATATATTATATTTTATATCTGTTACCATTTTACTGACACCACGACTTCAATTTTAACAAGACTTTCCGCGAAAACAGTGAGAGATATACTTTTGAAACTTTTTTTGGTTGGGTCGAATGCTTTTATGACCTTTTGGTCAGTATAAAAAATTAAAAAATAGGCCAAGGAACAAATAATTTAGGTCCCGAAAAATGGACCCCCAGGGTGCAGTGGTGTCAAAATCACAAATTAAATAAATAAGATTGTCTTAATTCTTTAGAAAATCACGGGTTCCTGCTAGTGTTATGAAAGGTTGAAGATAGAGATTTAAACATTTCTTTTGACCAATTAACACCGGGATGCTTCAAGAGATCAAAATGACAAAGTCTGGTATGTACTACAAACATACATCTATAAAATTTAAAGAGAGACTGTGTGGAATGTTTTAACCTGGTTAAGTCCAATTCCTGGCTGTACAGTATGTAAGATTGTGTCTCATTGTAAAACATCTCAGTCAATGACATTGTAGTCCTGTACATTCAATACTTGGAATCATAACTCAATGGCGTTTTCTCGTGAGGCGGTCTAAAGAATGCTCGACTACATTATAGTGTAGTTTATTATCGTGTAATTTCAAGTTTTAGTTACATAGCCCCGGAGTCCCAGAGTGAAGGGTAACGTGTCCTTCCAAGAATTACGGGCTCCCCAAGCGCTACAAAAAAACAAGCCTCTAAATTTGAAGCTTTTAGTAAAATTTGATTACAATTTGGAGCTACTAGCGGCCGTGCTGCTATAGTGACTAAACAGAAGTTTTGTCCCGGTTGCAACACACACACAAGCCTTACTCCAGACTAATCACTGATGGAACATTAATCTCACCAGCCTAGGTGAAGTAATACCAGCCTGCGTCAGGTAAAGTAATAACACTCCTGAACACATACGAGCTAGCTTATTGTGATTAATGTAAAACTGTATGGCGCAGTCAGCCTCGCCCGGCTTATTGCAAAATGAGCTTGAAGTCACAGTGAGGCTCTCGGAGCTTATTGCAAAATGCGCTTGAAGTCTCCATAGCGGAGCGAGATTCGTGCAATTTAGTGTTTCGTCACATAGTACAGGGTGCTTCTTTAGTGTTTCGTCACATAGTACAGGGTGCATCGAGACCACTATGCTATAAATAAATGGAACAGTTCAACATGTTTAGATGATGAAATGGTCCCAGTACTTTGCTGCACTCGTCACAGAGGGTGATCTAATACAGCTAATAAAGGCTCTTTTGTAGTTCTAACCCCTTACACGATCGGTAAATAGAACGGTCACACACGTACTATAATACGTACTATAATACGTACTATAATACGTACTATACTACGTGCTATAATACGTGCTATAATACGTGCTATAATACGTATTATAATACGTACTATAATACGTACTATAATACGTACTATAATACGTACTATAATACTTACTATAATACGCACTATAATACGTACGTGTTTGACCGTTCTATTTACCGATCGTGTAAGGGGTTAGAACTACAAAAGACCCTTTATTAGCTGTAAGGGGTTAGAACTACAAAAGACCATAACAGTACATATTTAAACAGATGTACCATAATGTACTATAATACGTATAATACGTTCCATACAATATTCAGACAAATGCTAGGTAGACATGTTAAATACCATGTTATGATATTATCTATGTTTTGACACAGCAGAGAAATGTATTCCTCTTTCAAAGTTCTGAATGCGTCAGGTTGCTAAGTGGGCGATGTAGGAGGTTGTGCTTTTAAAATAACCTAATTATATAAGCTCTATTGTTGTTAATCTTTAAAGAAATATAATGGTGATATGTATAACAAGAAGCACACAGCGTTGAACAAGACAGGTGGCTCACCGAGACACAGTACACAGGTTCCATAAAGATAGATTCTGACAAAACACGGGCCTGGAGTTAAAATCATTTGATCTGAAGTTGAAATTATCGACCTGATTCTGACGGAAACACAAGTGAAGTTAGAATTACTGATCTCAGATGAAAGGATGCCGCTGATCTCCCAAACTGTTTAAAGTCTGTGTAAGGAAAACACGAGCCATGTTAAACCTGTAACGTTTATAAACGACTGTTATTTTAAAGTTCCGTCAAGTTGAGCTAATTCGGGGCATTCCAATTACCACATGCTGAATGTTAAAACAAAGCATTACAATTTCCCACTCAAAGACAAAGACCTCCAACAACTGGGTACCACATCAGGGGAACTACCTCGAACATGTGAAATTTGATCCAAAGCACGGCAGTTACTACAATTAGTCAGAAGTTGGAGGGTGAGAGAGAGAGAGAGAGAGAGAGAGAGAGAGAGAGAGAGAGAGAGAGAGAGAGAGAGAGAGAGAGAGAGAGAGAGAGAGAGAGAGAGAGAGAGAGAGAGAGAGAGAATGAGAGAGAGAGAGAGAATGAGAGAGAGAGAGAGTGAGAGAGAGAGAGAGAGAGAGAGAGAGAGAGAGAGAGAGAGAGAGAGAGAGAGAGAGAGAGAGAGAGAGAGAGAGAGAGAGAGAGAGAGAGAGAGAGAGAGAGAGAGAGAGAGAGAGAGAGAGAGAGAGAGAGAGAGAGAGAGAGAGAGAGAGAGAGAGAGAGAGAGAGAGAGAGAGAGAGAGAGAGAGAGAGAGAGAGAGAGAGAGAGAGAGAGAGAGAGAGAGAGAGTGAGTGAGACTTGAGACAGCCTGCGTTCTCAGGAAATTACCAGGAGAATTCCAGAATGTTCGATCTGCCAACATAACTGCCTCTGAGTAACACATTGCAGCAGCTGGGAGAGAGCTGATGACCGCCATATATCCTGTAGGAGCCATATTATATGCTATACGTTAACTTCACAACTCTAGTTCATATGCAGTATTATTCGAGATGTTGCGGAGAGTGTGTGAGAGATTGGTCAGTCTAAACGAGGGTAACCTGGAGGGTGGGGTTGCTAGCATGAGAAGAGAGGGATGTGGGAGGAGTGATGTGTGAACCGTCTCATGTGCTCTCTTTTTCAAAGTGTGCAACTCTATAAGTGATAATTTTACCAGAGATCAAAGAAGTCGATGAGCTTAAAACTCATAACAAACTGATTTGTTTATAAGCATGAATCTCTTGACAAGTACAAACGAGTAAAAGATGTGACACGTAGAATAATTTAGCGTTGTCTAAACGAGTAATAAAAACAGTTAGTAAGAAGAAATTTAGTCCGCAATGATCCATTTGTCACATTAGAAAACCAAGCTGAAGAAGGCAGAAATATAAGCAGATGAGACCAAGGAAATAAAGTATCCCAGCCTCGAATCGATTATCACGGATAAATGGCAAGTATGTTGCTAGCTGCACGGACAACCAACACTGAACTACATTGACAGCGCAATGATAAAAGTCGGGCGATGAAAGTTCTCGACTGTGTAGATACTAAATGCCAGCAGACCGTTAGTTGGTGGGTATTAGAGAAATATAACACTACTTCTGGCTTTGCTAGATTAACACATCGAGAGAAGTTTGGTGGCGTACCCGGGAGGAGGAGGACCCTGAGCTGTAAAAAACAATAGACAGCTAATTTAGTAATTACAGGGCAAGACGACCGGGGGATTGGTTGGGTCCTAGAGAGGTAAATTGAGCGAGTAATAACTCTGGCATGACTCCAGCTTTGCAGAACTGAGAGCGGGAAGTTTACTAAATCATTTCAGTGCCTTTGTACAGATTACTGGGCGGAAAAAATGCCGCGTCAGCCACTAATTGAATCAGAATAGAGAGCTTTACACAGCGAGTAAGTAAATGATGATCGGAGAAAAAACGATGATGTGCCAAGCAAAGAAACACACAAATACTGCCAATGTTAAAACAATGTACGTCATTCGCGGGGATTTGCCATCGCTGAAATAAAAACCACTCCTGTGCAACACGAGTTTGTTAATCACTGCTTATGATTCGCGCGGCGTCATAGTATATATAATAGGTTCATAGAATTAATTACACTCTGATCTTACTGTCTGATTTTCAAAATGATTTGAATGAAATAACATATAATATAATCAATCGTTAAAAAATTTTGGACTATTATATGTAATGTATATGATTAGTAAAATGCTAAAATTGAAAATATTCAGATGAATCTGGATGTATTTTAGTTCCAACGCCGCGCAGTCAACTTCGGAAGCTATGCCACTCTATGTATGAGCGCAACATACTAGCAAAAATCGAGCGCTACGTGTAGATCGAACCGGCTGCAGATTGCGTTAACGGTAGCTTGACTTCGATTTCTGCTGTGTACTTATTTCGTCGTGATATACCAGTGTGCCTTTAATAACTGATGTTTAGGTTCTTATAACGATAAATTTGAAATTGATCTTTCAATTAATCTGTGCACCTCTGACATTAAGAGATAAGCCTTGCTAGGCGTTAGTCACTTCAGGATTGTGATAATATTCGTTTCCGATTTTTGAAGAAATCAGCATTCACTTTCAGCTCTAGTACCCTTGTAGTCTGATATAGCTTCCATCTCATGGTTGTTCTTACGGCCAGCGAGAGGGAGCAGAATGTTGAGGAACAAATTAACGAAACTGAGCTTCTTGTATCCATGTTCGACAGCTCTGTGGCCATCGAAGACAACAGCGTTGTAACAATAAACATTAAGAGCGATCATTTTCTTCTCGTCCTCAGGTGTCTATATCACGAACTCTATCCGAGCCACGAACCTCCCATTTTCGCCATTATCGACATGACCAACACTTCTCATGCCTCTTATGTGATTGATGATATTTTGTTAGAGTCAGAGTGCAACAAGCTGTTTGCACCAGGAGAATGTGTCGTTTATCAATGGGTTGTTTACATAACTGAGTACATCGAGGCTCTCGATGGCTTTGTTTCAAGAAATGCTGTGAGTCCAGAATTTTCTCCTGGAGACAATGATAAGGTAATTGCAGATATGGAAAACTTGCAGATTCTGGAGGACAAATTTAATGCCGAGGAAGTTAAGTTCACCGGCATCAGTCCTGAGGAAAGTTATCCACAACCATCAAAATCATATCCAATCCCCGAAATTTACACTGGAACAATTCTTACAGAACGAAAAAGTCATTTTCAAGCCCATGTTTGCCAAGTTTTTAGTAAGAGTGATATCGAAAACACCATGAGAACACTCCTAATGAATCCCAAAATAGCCGGTGCATCTCACAACATCATGGCGTTTCGCTATGTAAGTGAATCAGGAACCCTTGCCCAAGACTATGATGATGACGGGGAGACGAAAGCTGGTGGAAGACTTCTTGAACTGATCGATCTGATGAATGTGGAGAACTTGATGGTTGTGGTTACCAGATGGTATGGTGGTGTGATGTTGGGTCCCTCTAGGTTCAAGTGTATTAATAACATTGCCAAGATCACTATTCAGGACTCTGGATATTATTATACTGGTGATGTAAGTAAAAAGAAGAAAAAGAAGAAATAGAAGAAATAAGTTCAATTGTCGGTAATGAAGTTGAGGGTATTATAGCTTTTGCATGATCTGATTTTTAACTTGGTATTTAAATACATGCTAACACGATTTTTAGTCTTTGAATCAAATTTGTGCACTTTTTGTCTTCAAGTGCAATTTTTAAGTTAAAATTTAGATTTAATTTTGTATCATAATAATCTTGATGAATCTAGATTCTAGAAACTATTGATATTTTGATGGAATTTTAAGACGGTGATTCAATTTGCATTATCAGTTCACCCCAGCTTAGGAAAATCATTTCATGAAATTTACATCTCAACCAATTACTCAAAATGGCAAGTCTTGTCTGGTGTTGTCATGCAGGTTTGACTATTTATTTGTAAAATAGTGAACAGTTCAACATATATTTTAAATGGTTAATTATGCGAACCTGCACTTTGCATCCACTGCAACAAAATGGTGACTGTTTATTAGTTAAGTGGTGAACACTAAACATAATTTCGTTTCAGGATGTAGTTTGTGCTGAATTCTCAAAACGATGGGGGAAGTGGTTGACACCCTTCAACAGCATCTCGAAGAAGAGCTTCGCAGTCCTGGTAAACCAATCTCCAGCAATTTCAACGATATTTTACTCAATCTAAAGCTACACAACAATCAGAGTGACCTGATCACAACTCTAGCTGGGAACAGAGAGGTTTTGAAGCTGCTGATAGAAGGTCTTGACACTAAAGTTTCTCTTATTAGAGCACTTTGTCCTGTGTTATACTCCTGGGTTACACTCAATACCGACCAGTCTATAGCCTTGGTATGTGAGTTCATTCCATCTCTCATTTGGAGCTATTTGTCCACAGTCGGCACTGATGAGCCTGAAGAAGCAGAATCTATTCTCACAAACCTCGCAAACATTTTGTCCCACAAAAGTGGCTTCAGTTTTCGTCTACCTTCAATCCACATGATCTCAGTTTACCATCACCCAGCTAAAATGCAATACACGGGTGGGCTGACTGAGGCTAGTTTATCGAAAGGTTTCAATATGGAACCAGTTTTTAGTGACGCAACACCAGAACGTTACTCCAGCATCACCTCTTCAAACAGACTCTCGTTACTTACCCTGCTGCTGGAGAAGTATAATCAGAGTATGGGGGACATGTCACCCGGTAGTTTAGATCGGTACTGTTGGCTGTGTATATGGGTGTGTGGCAGTGGTATGCCCAGTTCAGCTGTTCCCATCAGCGATATGAAGTGTTGGGCCTTTTGTCAAACTAGATTTACCTTGAACAAGAATTTCATGACTGCTCTGGCATCAGGGCTGCAGTATTGCGTGTATAATGGACATTTTGTTGTTGCTAAAGATGCCCTTGATACAGTCGCAATAAGAGCACAATACGACGTGTGTGCAGAAGTCATGATGCTAACGGCATCTCTCCTTGACAGCATCAAGATCTCATCTGTGACACCTGCCTCCAAACCGTTTGGCATTGCCATCCCACAACTATCAGGAACTCAAGACGATACTAGGCCGGTTAGAAGGTCTATAATTAGACACGAGGACGTACAGACACTGAAAAAGAGGATATCATCCAATGAGATTCGTGAGGATAGTGAGAATGAGGGACCCTCTCCTGCGTCCGTTATAGTGGACTGTGCTGATTCTGACGATTCTGATATTCATATTGCGGGTTTCAGGGGTGGCAGATTGCAGAACACCTCCGTTTGAGGAATGCCGTGTTTTCACATGGGATGTTATTGAGTTGTGAATATATTTTTGAAATTAGCAAGTTTTGACCCCAAAAACAAGCAGAGATTGGGGTTTGGGCGAATAGGTTAATATTGAGAACTGGTACAGCTGAAGAAAACTAAAAGTCTACAGAAATTTCAAATCAAAATTTGCTTTAATATAACTTTTTTCAGCAGATTTTTAACTAAGCTGCTGAGTCTAATACGCGAATAGGAAAAAGTGTTACTTTTTGCCTCACCTTAATTATTAGAACACAAGTTCTTTTATTTGGACACTGTTTCTGGTTTATTTACGTTTTCTGGTCAGCATAGTGCAACTTTACTGTTTTATTGTAATGTAGCATAATTTTAGATGCTATGGTACCGCTGTGTATGGAAGCTATATTTTCTGATTATTAATTAATGTTTGATCTTTGTTGAGTTATAATTATGATAATGTATAATTTGGTTTGCTTACTTTCGAATTTCAATCACTTGCATTATCATTAGTTTGTCGCCAAAAAGTTCAAACAATAGATACTTTGAAATTATGAGGAATGTATGTTTATTTGCCCTTGCTGTTGGGGGTCGTTCAAATATTACGTAATCACTGAGGGGGGTTTCTAAATGATTACGGTAGTGTAATTTAGATACAATAGCATGTGTAAAACTGATTACGGAGGGGGGGGGGGGTTAAAAATTGCCCATAAAGTGACTACGTAATATGTGAACGACCCCTTGTTATATCTAACAAAATATCAATGTTCAACAATTTCTACACACTTCTAACACACTTTCTTCCAGTATACCAGCTGCAAAATGGCACTCCCTCTTTTTGGCGGAACTCAACAGAAGTCCACAAAGAACCTGATCGAGTTCAAGGCAGGCAAGATGGTCCAGAAGGGTAAGATGGTGCACCCCGACACCCGGAAGGGCATGATATACGTCTACAAGAGTGAGGATAGTCTGACTCACTTCTGTTGGAAGGACCGGTCCACTGGGGAGGTTGTGGACGATCTGATTATATTCCCTGATGATGCAGACTTCTCACGTGTAACTCAGTGTACCACGGGACGTGTTTACATCATGAAGTTCAGGAGTAGCAACCGGAGATTCTTCTGTTGGATGCAGGAGCCCAAGGAGGACAAGGATGAGGAAAAGTGTAAGAAGGTTAACGAGATCCTAAACGGGAATGCAGCAGCAGCAGCAGAGGAAACTACCCCCGCTGCCACTACGGCTACTCCCGCTACTCCTGCTACCCCCAGTGGTGCTGCTAATCTGGGGCAATCCCAACTCATGGACATGCTCTCAGGAACACCAGTCTCCAGCAGATCCAACGGAGCGCCTGTATCTGTTGCTGCGCTACAAAACATACTACAGAACATGCCCAGCAACGGGGGCGCACCTAAAGAAAGTGTCACACCTGCCAGTGTGATCAGCAAAGAAGCTATAGACGGTCTGCTGGAGTGTCCAGATACTGTGGCTAAGCTAGAACAGCACCTCCCTGAAGCGCTGCGCGGGAACCCGGAGACAATGCGCGGCACTCTCAACTCACCCCAGTTCCAACAGGGACTACAGCTGTTCAGCAGCGCTTTCAAGTCCGGACAGCTTGCTCCGTTGATGAAGAGTTTAGGTTTTACAGATAGTGCTGGCAATGCTGCTGCTGGAGGAGACTTTGAGGCGTTTGTACGCGCCGTGGCAGACGCGACTAAGGAGAAGGAGAAGGATGATGTAGAGGAGGACATGGCTCTGGACTAGTTTTGTTCGTGCATCTATCACGTGCGAGTCACGTGCGTGCCTTGCATGTTTAACAGAAACCAGCTTAATTGATATTTGTGGGAACTTGTGGAAACAAATTGGGATTTTTGATTGATGTAGACATCAACACTGTGTGGCATCTATTTAATATTGCAAAACGGTTTTCTTTATAAAGACTATGCAAAGTGTTGAGAGATCTTTTGTAAAGTTCAATGTTTCGGTGTATTTCTACATTTGTATCCTACATGTACATTGTACAATTGTACATTGTACATGTGTCTTTGTAGCTTACTGTTTTTTTCCGGAGATGATCAAATATTTTGAGTTTTCCAGGTCTGCCCCCAAAAGTGTTTCGCTAGCTTTCTTTGCTGATGATAATATTATGCCAATAGTGACTATAATAATGAACGGGAGAGTTTTTGTCGAGGATATTAAATGATTTTTTCAGGGATGAGTTCTAGTCTGCGTGTGTAGCCGGTAGCCAATTTAAACTGTAATTTGTGAATTTTAGCAGTTAATACTAATTTAGAAGTAAAGTAAAAAGAACTGTATTTTGGATTGGTTATACAATGTACCAAGTAATATTGAGTTAGCTACATATCCTCGTTTTATTTAGCTACAATTATTTATTAAGGTAGTGAGAGGCTATTGTTAATTCTATTAATGAAAAAATTGAGATCAAATATTTCTGATATAAAACAGGTGGAAAGCTAGACTAACCTAACAATATCCCTAGGACTTTTTAAGTGTCATGACCTAAAATATAACAGAATCAACATTTGAACCAACCTTCTTTTATCCGGTGTTAAAGCTACGAAACTTCATCAACCTACCATAATACTACTGCAACCAATGTGACATTCACGGAAATACAAGCTTCCAGATCTAGGAGATTCTAATTAAAATCGTGTACTTCCTTTAATCGGGTTTGACAACTCTTGATAGTATCAGGGTGTTCAGTAGCCTGGATACTATCTGGATCTCAATACTGTGTGGACTGAACATCAGATACTTCGGGGAACAGACGCCAAAAACTAAAAATTCCAGAAAAACAAACAATAGAAATAAAGTGAGAACGTTTCACACGGAAAGATAAATACGTGAAGGATGTCTCTTGTGGACAAGATCGTGAAGCGGATGATCGTCACCAGTTTCTTTGGTGACGGATGGGGTGACCAGGAGACCTTCCACAAGCTGCTGGCACTGCGGGCTTCCTACAAACACGGGGTGGACCACATATTCCAGGACAGGAATAATCTCAAGTTCCAGGTTAAAGAAGAGAAAAGTAGCTCGAAACACGTGAAGAGTTACTCCGGCTCCTTTATATCTCCTTTATACCACGAGCACAAGCTGATCCCTGAGGAGTGCCAGGAGTGCAGGTTCCACCTTATCTTACCAGCTCAGTGGGAGGATGTTGGAAAGAGGCGGGTGTGTGTACATTACGCTGCAACTGGAGACCATTCCTTCTGGAGGAGGTACAGGTTCCTGGCGTACCCTCTGGCTAAGGATTATAATATCGGATCTGTTATCGTGGAGAATCCTTTTTATGGTAGGTCTACATTTCAGCTCTTATTCTCTTATATTTTCTCGACCCTTTTGCAGGTGAAATTGCTTCTGCCCTGCGTAAGATCATAATTACCTCACTACAGTATAACACCGGGCCTCCTAATCCCGGAACTTATTACCCGCTAAATTTCGGGCATTTCACCTTGACGATAATTGATTATATTCTTTAGTTACACAGTTACACTAATTTCAAATCAACCTGCTCCCCCGACAAAATATTTTAGTTGAATTATGAAATTTCGCTGTTACACTCCCACGATTTCACTCTCACTATTTCTCACCAGGTACCAGAAAACCGAAGAACCAAGTCCGGTCAGGTATCCGCCACGTGTCGGATCTGTTCACAATGGGCTCAGCCCTGATACTCGAGGGCGGGGTTATCTTAAACTGGCTGGAAGAACAGGGCTACAAACTCGGTATCTCCGGTATCTCACTAGGGGGACACAACGCCTCCCTCACTTCCGCAGTGTGGAACAAACCCATCGCCACTGTGCCCTGCTTATCGTGGAGCACTGCTGCGCACACGTTCAGCGAGGGGATCATCTCTAACTCGTGCATGTGGAGCGTGCTACGGGACCAGCTGTCACCCTCCAGACTGGAGGAGATACAGGATATCATCAGGATTACAGATGACGAGATACAGGTGATGTTGGAGGAGAGGTACGGGATAATACCTGATACTCCCGCTGAGGATGCCCCCTCGTCTCATATCTCCAAACTGCTGAACATGCGGTACTTATCAACCCTTACAAACAGTCTGGGGGGTCCCCGCAATGGCTCTCCTGATAAGATAACGACACTGTACATGCGCCTCCTGATCGACGAGTTCTCTAATCTCAAGTACTATCCTACAGTTGCGTGTCCCGAGGCTGCTATCGTCGTGGTTGCTAAATCAGACTTGTACGTGACTCGACCTGAGGACGATGAAATGATAAAAGATATCTCGGAGATATGGCCCGGGTGCGAGGTGAGGGTGGTCGAGGGCGGCCATATCTCCTCCTACCTTACCCACAACCACACTTTTAGGAAAGCTATTAATGATGCTTTCGATAAGCTGGAGGTTTGGGTGGAATCAAATGCACCTAAAAACTAGATTTTTGAGTAATATGTTTCTGTTTTATATTGGGTAGGCCAATAACCATTTTGACTGATTTGTATCAGTTCATGTAATTTGTTGGGTGTTCTAGCTCGACTGTCATGTATCCTAATTTACGTTATCATATTAATACTGTCAAATTTAAATTATCGTGAGATTAGAGTAGTGATCGACCGGCCACCAACCGAAAATGTCACCACCAGCCCCTCCCCGGCTAAATCTTGGGAGATTGTCAGGGGATTTTAGCTAGATAAAATGTACTAAATAATTTATAATTTATCTCTAGTTTAAAAACGTTTTTATAAGGGTAAGAGGAAATGCAGGCAGCAAAACAGCAGTTCAGCTCAACATCACCGCCCCTGGCCGAAATTGGCACCCTCAAATCTCAACCACAATTAAAATCGGCTGGTCGATCATTGGATTAGGGTTTACTAAAGTTGATGAGTTATTATTAATTAATACAGTTAGTTAGGAATTATTTAATTTAGTTTTTGTCCTTATTGTTTTGTACCTCATTTACCAAGTTCTCAGAAACAGATTTGATTAATTGATTTAAATAGTTTAGGGTTAAGAACGATGCTATATTAATGATTTTTGTTAAGATATAAATTGGAAATTTGTTTAAAGATATTGTACAAGATATTGCACGGATGATATCGTATGAATAAATGCTACAAAATTGAAAATTCCTAATATTCTGTGTAATTACCCTATAAACGAATATCTCCTTCTCATTAAGGGTAAACGACCCAACCCTTATCGGTAGGAGTTTATAATAACGGTAAACTTATCTCTTATGTTATTTATCGGATTCTTTTACTTAGATTTTCACGTAGAGATGAATCCATATATTGCGTTCCATTTTAACTGTGTATTTGTAACTGTTACAATTATATTGTCAGCGATTTCCAGATGTATGTCATTTATTCTCTGTCACAATTAAAAACTCAAGGGAATGGTTAAGACACAATCATACGCCAAGGCAGGTTCATACTCTCTTCAGAAAATCAGCAGATGCATCATCACGTAAACGGCTGCCGCTGAAGCATTCATGTAAGCAAATATGATCGACTTTCGCGCGCACGTATTATGTTTTTTACGCGCATGTAGTTTTGTTAATTTGTGAACCCAGCAAAGAAACGCTAGCATGTACAACGCAAGTGTTTCGTAAACTTTGAAGTTAGAGATGCTTGCACATGATCGTTAATCGTTGAAACGAGCTTTGTATCAAGCATTACACGGCTGACTAGTTAGTATGCGAAGGCTTCAATCATACACAACTGTGACACTACTATTTCACCTGGCGTTCTTACTACTTCTTGCTATATTTGTCATATGACCAATAACCGTGAACACTTCCAACATTATAATATCCATCTAAAAACACATTCATCAAAATGCTACAGTTCATTCGGAGCCGGTGTAAATTTTACAAATTTGAATCTATCGCTGAAGAATATCATAACATATATGCTAATTGCTGTTGGATAATGTGGTTCCGCACCGGGGTAAGCACAGGGCTCCAATACTCTATCTTATAGTGGTCATCCTGAACATTACCACAGCCCCCTACGAAGAAGAAAAAGAAGAATGTGGTTCCGCATCCCAGACTCTCAAGTTTTACCCACTTGCTTACGACTGGATAGATTGCTCAACATTACCCTGTCACTCGCCTGATTGCCTAATTACATGACCTTATTGTAGACGTGAGCGCAATTTCAAATGGAAATTAACTGGGAGTGACGGTTGGTACATACAAATATAATGTTAACCGTTACTGCAAGTACAGTGATGGAAATATTACAGTGGTAAATTAACGTTAATACTTTGTCGTCGTAACATGCTGCCCATCTTTACAGCTTTTAAAACATTCTGGCATTTTAAACGAATATACAGAATTAGAAGCTCCTTTCCGAAACCTCTCTCTAAATAAGGCACAGAGACGGTATGCTGTTTGAAAGTCCCGCAAGTAAGGGGTCGTTCACATATTACGTAATCAATATTTTAGCAATTTTACCCTCTCCGTAATCAACCGTAATCAAGACCCAACCCCCCTCCTATCCTGACAGCAATATTACGTAATCATGGCCTTCCCCCCCCCCTTCCCCCCTTGACTTTTTTCCCTATAGAACACTTTTCTCTACGTTGCATGCTACCGAGATCATGCTATTGCTATCATGATGAGCCGAAATCATTGTTACGATATCCGGCCAAGCACCTTTTAAACAATTGTCATACGTTGTATGACCCGCCGCGCACGAGTGCGCGGCTCCCCCTGTATCGTCATATATTACGTCACTAAACTATAGTGAAACGACCGTGGGGGTCACAACGTGATACAATTCTAAACTACTTACTATTATAGCCGGATATTCGATCAATTTCTAAATTTTATCACTAACAGGGTGAAATTGAGTGGAATTTGAATTAAAATATTGCCAAATTGTTATTTTGTATTTAATTCTAGAGGGTAAAAAAGAAAATGTACGTAATCAACGACCAAATTAACTTCCGCCCCCCCCCCCCCGGTATATCAACCGTAAGCATTTGGAAACCCCCTCCCCCCTCGGCTGATTACGTAATATTAATATTATGTAAACGTGAACGACCCCTAAGCTCAGGAAGCCGCACAGATCACTTTCACGGTAAGTACCTGACCGTGGTTCAAAAGTGGTAAGTACCTTGGACCACGGCCAGATACTTAAAGTAGGTACTTTAAGAACCTGGCCATGGTCCAAGTCTCCAAGAGTGGCGTCTTGTTTTGCATTAAACATGGATATGCACTATGCAGTTGCAGGCTGCAGCCTATTCATTGCAGGCTGCAACTGGGTACTCAATTTAAGTTATATCTGAGCAGTAAGTAGGCAGTTTATGTGAACGTCCATTTATTTTCGGCGGGAAATAGTAGACTTAAACCGCTTGATAATCTTGACTTCAATTTAAGTCAATATTTTAAAATATTCACTTGGTTCTGGGAGCATAGACTTTTAAAAATGGAGAAGATCGGTTTGATATGGTATATACCGTCCAGTCTTCTGCCTTTATCGGTACCAGGCTGTTCAATTGCATATGTACTACAGATTGTGGCTGCATTTTCAGACACTATGATCGATGATTTATGCCGCTTTAAATTTTAAGATCATACTCCTATGTTATGATCAGTCTAAGTTGTTCGAAGATTCTTCGGAGGGAGAGGCTGGCGCCGTCCGTCCGTGTTTAGTGAGCCCACTTACAGCGGGACTGGGTTAAAAAGAGAAAATACTTAATTACAATTAAGTCTGTCTTTATTTATCCATACCTTAGGGTTCAGACCATATAAAACGTTAAATGTTATATTAATATGACTATTTAGGTTTTGGTCTTAGCTTACTATATCATTTCATTCCCTTGTTATGTAATACAATGCTATTGGATATCCATTATCCAATACCATACAGCCATACTGTCGAGTGTCGCCTAGAAAGTAGGGCACGTATTCAGTCCATATTTCATATTCTATTTCAGCATTCTTTTGGTGATATAGTGATCAACAGAAACTTATTTACGGTTTGTTTCTCAAAAAGAAAACAGTGAACATGTCAATTACGTCCTAGCCCCAAGGTTTCATTTCAAATGTAGTAACAAGTTTAAACTTTGTCACCTCATTCGAATATTGCGCAAACTCACATCTGTCACAGACTAATAATAGTATTTTGAATAGTGTACAGTAGAATATTGTGTGACACGGATTTATGTCCGTATTATTTCAAAAAGTTTCAATAAACCTGCCCCTGCTCCAATAATCCACTTTTTAACCTGCCCCATGTGAACCGTTTACACTCCCCCAGATCGCGGAGTAATAATGTAGCCGGCAATTATATGAGCACACCTGTCACTTGTATTTGGGAACGAGCTAAATAGAACCAGCCTTGCTAAATATCTTCTCTACGTTTCTCTGCTAGTTTGGGATTATTAGAAAGCTGCACCGATCATAAATCGTTGAAATGGTGCTATCTATGTTTTTTCGTATTTTAATAAACATTTTGATAAAGAAGAGCTGTAATTTTGTGTGTAATCTATTAGTAATAGTATTATATATACTGTCTACAACATGGAAATTATTGTTTTGTCACCAATTAAACAACAGTTCATTCTTTGTGGAGTCATTTTGAAAGCTTGTAAGTGTTACAGTGCTTGTGTATCAATGGAGCGTTATTGTGTATTAATTCCACAGTGCAGTGATAAACATTGAGACTTGAGACTCATGTTTTACAACTATTTCTGCTGTGTCCTTTGCTTGCTTACATTTTGTGTTCCTCTTTTGTTAACATTTTGGAGGTTGACTCACCCAGTCTCCCCATCATTGAGCGTTGCTTATTTCAGCAGTTATTTGGCCCCTGTCCGCTGCTGTTTACACAATACACTTGCACCTGTAAACCTACTGGACGTTGCTAGCCTCTCTCTCCGCCTTACAGTTTTCAAACATTTAAACCTGAAGGAGGATTTGTTTAAATCATATAAGTGATATAAACAGATTTTTAGCAGGAGCTTTCAAAATACATGTGTAAATCGCCTTCAGCTAGGGATGATGTTCCCAAGGTAGCTGTAAACAATCTGAGATTTCAAGATTATAATTTCGACCCTAAAATTCCGCTTGTGGCTTGGTTTCGGCAACTTTCAACTCCAGTATTCCAGTAGTTATAAAGCTGAAGTAAAATATAATGCCCGGCTGCCTCATAGCAGATCTGTAGTGTGGTAATACAATATCTTATATCACTTTAAACAGTAAAACAGTAAAGTAAAACACCTGGATTTGAAACTAATCCTCGAAACTGTTCATTGTTGTTACATCGGTTTCAGTGTTTCAAATTACTAGGTTTCATGTCATGCTCAAGGATTGTATACACGTGAAAACATCTGGCTTTTATCATTTATGTTATGCCCTTGTGAATAAGTGATCTTTTGCTACCTAATGACGTAGTTCGTGCAGCGATTAGTGGCTTTAAATCACATAAGAGCGTAGTAGTACGGTAGTAGTAGTAGTAATGTTAAATGTTCCAGTGGAGCTCTAGTTCAGGTCTCCGTCCGTAATTGCTAAGTCCCAAGTCTGCCTCTAAAGTCTGATGCGATCATTATTGATTGCTGTTTAGCTCGTTATAATATCACAGAACTAAGGCCGCTATCAGTTATCACTATTAAAGCCTGGCATCTAATTGCCCTCCTGTTTGTCAGCTGATCGATTGAACGTGTACACAAAACACAACTCAATAAAGCTTACTATTAATATTATGTTGTACATACCGGGATAGCTTTGTTTGTTGTTATCATTACCCTATACCATGTATAGTTAAGGTCTGGGAATTGGAAATATAACATTAACAATGAACATGGCTACATTCTATAAGTATAAGAGACAACAACTGGTCGTATAACGTTCACTTAATCTATTTTATCTTTTGGGAACACCAAGCTTTCAGTGCTTACAGTTTCAGCGCAGAATTTGTTTAGCTTAAGGTGCCCGCATTGGAATAGTGTAACAACTGAAGGTATTGTAAACTTATTTCGTTTCATTTGTATCCGTCACACGAATGGACATTCAGTAACTGAAACTGTGCAACTATAAAGTTAAGAAAGTTACTGACGTTGTTTTATTTGACAAATTCCCTGTATTAGAGGGACTTTCCTTAATTACCCAACTAAACCAAACCTGAACTTCCGCTGAAAATAATTACAGATAAGATTGTGTAGAACTACACAATACGAAGTTAATTACAGATAAGATTATCTATAAGTTATTTCAACAGAAGTTCCGGTTGGTTAAATTTTAGTAATTAAGGAAAGCGTGCTGTAGTAAACATAATTTGTAGAATATTTTTCCCTTAAGTTTATCTTGCACAAAGCTACTACTACTACTACTACTACTACTATGTCGGAACTAAACCCGATCTACGCCAGATAACCCCTCCATAGTCCATACATCCCTGTCCCGCATCAGGGTTCATAGTTCCTTTTTAGACTTAGAGTTTGTCCCAACTTCCTTCAGTAACATAAACAAATAGCTTTGTCTCAAAGCTTTACTAAGCTAAGAACGGAAGAGACTAGCCTCCCTAGCTTGGTTCTATTGTTTGAAACATTTTCTTTTAGACTCTTATTTATATATAATATACACATATACTCGACTTGAAGTTGCCTCTTACTGCATATTCAAGGCCATTAGTCTCGGGCAATACTAGTGACCTGAAATCCCCCATCAGTCAACACTATCTATAATAGCCGGGCTCCCCTTGCTACACTCGAACCATTACATCTACCCGGTGTTAATACTAATAGCGTACAAACTACTAATGTTACTATGAGTAGATGGATATCCTGGCTATATTGAAATATAATGCCTGAATACTCCTAAAGAACGGTTATAACTCGGTCCTATCTATTGTACTGCTCTTCCCGCCGCTAACTCCGCTATTCTAAATCACATAACCGGCTCATATTATGTGATTTGTATCACTTCGGGTCGGTTTTGTTCGCCAGTCCCGGACATCACTCTTTGTTAATTGTTTTGCTCCCTATTTCACCGGACACCGACTGTTTTGCAATCCTCTGATTGTTATAATATCGGGTCTGTATATCATGGATTGCTCTTGTTGTTTAGATGAAGGGTCGTTAGAGGCCAAGTTTGATCTTATGGTGGAACGGTTTAGAAGCTGGATTGATGACGTTGAGTACAAAATCAAAGATGCTATCGAAAAAAGGAAAAGTTAGTGTAAACACGATTTAAATTATATTTAATTTTATAAGTTTATTTAATTTTACGAATAATGGACGGTTCGACTTTGAGTTCCTTAGTATCTTAATCTAATACATAGTTGGATCCAAAGTTTTTAAACGTTTGAGACTGCAACTCAACTTTCTGACAAGAAAGTTAAATAGTACTGATTATAGTGAGACCCTAATTGGACTGTGGGCTCAAACCGATTGAGACTCAAACGCCTGAGCTCTGGGCCTCCGACTGGGTGGCCAAGACTCAGACCTTAGAGTCAAAGAACCAAACGAAATAATTAGCATATTATGAATTATGTTATTAATTATATTTACATATTCAACGGATTTAGCCCAACAATTTTATCTATAATTGCAGTACGTAGCGCCACGCTAATTCTGCACGATCTTCATATTCATGAACCGACCCACAAGCAGGCTGAACAGGGTTGCATTTACACATTTACTTTTAGTCTTGATCACTTAGCACTGGATACATATTTAGCCTTAATTTTTATTTGTTACAATTTTGAAGGAAATTTGAAGGAAATTTTGAAGGTAATTCACATTATGCGCATATTTATTACTTAGATAAAAATCAGCACAGGCCAGGATGGCACTATGGCAGACTGCCGAGTTTAAAATTCGCTGAACAAGTTTGCTTGCACTTTGATATCCTGTTAATATTCAATACTTTATGTTATTCGTTTGTATTGCGTTTCAGAGAAACAAGAAGAGGAGAAGAGACTGGCCAAATGGCAGGATCAGGTGCATACTGCTAGTAGAGCGGAGAACAGTACAGTAGACCCTCCAACTACCACTTCAGAAAGAAGGGTCCTGGATCCACCCTCTCCAACTACCACTTCAGAAAGAAGGGTCCTGGATCCACCCTCACCAACATTATCAGACTACGTGTTTTCAACCCCCACAGACTCAGATCAAGAGGACTTCGAGTCCTTCTTCCCGACACCACCTTCTCCTCTTGAAGACAGTCCAGACCCTGGTGTTACAGTCTTACAATCAGATACACAACTAATAGGTTTTATGGAACAAGTCGAGGAATCAGCAGCCGAAGAAGAATCAAACGCTCCGTTCAGAGACATCACTGATACAACCCAATTCTTAATACCTACTGTCTTGTCAGAATATTCATCAGACGATCCAAATCAGATTCTTTTTGTGCCACCCACAATACCACGTGTTTCAGCATCTTCCTCAGCTGCCAGCCAACGTTCGATAAAGCTTTTAGAAAAATCTGCTGTTATCCAGAAGTTGCTCTCGGATTCACAGGTACTTTTTATGATATGAGTTTGAGGGGGTTTGTAGTTCACTTTTAATAATTGAGGGAGGGGGAAGGATAAAAGGGGGGGGGGGGGGGGGGGGGGGGGGGGGTGGGAGTTGCACTACCTTTATGTTTATGCAAAAGGTATCTTTTTAAATACGGGTCTTTGGGTACTTCATGGTGCCAACAAAAATGTTTTTTTACCTGAGCTCCGCTTTGATCTTCTGACTCGTGGAGGTAACTGGATCACCTCCGCTTTTCACTGGCGGTACTGATAAAGATCCCTGGCGATGGCGAGGCTATTTTCCCTGGAACCCAACAAAAGAATTGCATATGAGCTCTGCTTAAGTCTTCTGGTTGCGAAATGCGAGGGAGAACTGCAGCCCTTCCGGATCTGCCCTATAACCAGCACTACGTTATAATCTATCCCTTCTTAACTTTCTGAACAGGATTAACTCCTTATCTAATGGGCAGTATTGTTAAAGACCGGTGACAGTGCTGACAGGGCTTACTTTCCTGGAATTCGACAGCACTTGCTGGCAAAGCTTCAACATGTAACAGCTTTTTTGTTTCCTTTTGTTTGAGAAACTCAATCAATAATCTGGGGATTTCACTTTTTAACCACAGTAGCGGTTGCCCCCCCCCTCTAGCGGTTGCCCAATGCCCCCCCCTCTAACATTTAGTTATCTAGTATGTAAGATACTGTTTACCTTGTTTAAAAATAGTTTTTTGTATTCAGGAATTTTAAAAAATCATCTTATCCTCAGATAGTTTTTTGTATTCAGGAATTTTAAAAAATCATCTTATCCTCAGATCAGTCCTGTCCAGAACGACCTATCAAAGGACGTTAACATCAACTGCAGCGAAGATAAGGTGACTAGTCCAGATACAGATAAGTCGGAGGAGATAAGGAATCTGTCTGAAGGAGCCCTTTCAACTTGTTCTACTTGCTACAAACAACCGAGAGGTATGTTTTTGTTCAGGGAGCAGGGGCTTGCCACATAGGTCCGGGAGTTCCGAACGTTTAGGCAGGGTGCTATAGATGTATAGGTGTTATAGTCCAAACTTCTATTAGGGCCGTTTGGCAACGAAAAAAAAACTATTTAACTGTCTCCGTATCAAGTTAAAGATGCACGGCTTGAAATTATCCAACTTTGCTATTTTAATATTCGGCCATTACATGTCATGGTGTTCCTGCTTATTTCGCACTGACCAGCTCGCTTGATGCGAAACATGAAAATATGAAAAAAGCTGCCAATGTCATTATTCTGATAACCGTTTAACAATTACACACACAATGCACTATTTCCACGTCATCGTATCTTGTGCAGTGTGTTCGCGGATTGTACATTTATTCACATTGTACTACCATCATCATCATGGGTTAACACGTCTGTGTGTTAAAATCAAATATAACAGTTAACATCGCTACTTATCATAATCATGGAGGTATGGCCATGTTATTAGTACAATCCCCGTGTGCCTGTCATCCATTTGCGCTGATAATTGTAATGCCCTATAGGAGTCAGACCAGACCCGAATATCAGCGATTCCCTCCCACTGAAGGACGTGAGTGTTCAGGTAAACGATCAAGCGGAGACATCTGGTATTTCTGCGGAAAAGGTTATCAACAAGTGCGAACACAGCTACAAACATCCTGATATATACAAACGGTTAGTTTTGTTTCGCTTTTAGTTCTAGTTCTCGTTTATGTCAATACCACTCGGAAAAGATACAACAACTTCAAAATTAATAAGTTTTCTATTGTGTTTTTGAAATTAATATTTCTGCTCCGAGAGAGCCGCTCAGACATGGGAACCGTATTGTGTAAATTATTTGGTTATAATATATCTTCTACAAAAGCTTTGTCGCATAGTAGCGGGGTGGTAAATACTGTGTTTCGTTTCGTATTCGTGTTCGTGTCTTGAGGGTAAATGTAAAACCGGACGAATTTGGATCACATTTAATTCCGGGTATTTTCAAACCTAAATTTCAAAACATAGATTATTAAATTTGTGAACCATTTAAAAATCGGAATTTCAACGAGTTCAACTTGTAAAATTTCCCAATGTTTTGATAACGTTACTTGCATACAAGTTCAAAATGTAATTATCTGGATTGTAAACTTGCTCGGATTAAATCAAAAGAATTTACCGGAGAACTGAGGGCCGCTTAGCTGACACATTACAACACAATTTACAACACAATCGATATTCAGAAGAGGAATAATTTGAAAGTAGTTACTTTAAAAGTTTGTTTAAAAGAATTCCCTATTTATTTCTGGAACTGTTATTTGTAGTATTTGTCATCGAGGTTAAGTGTCTATTGTCAAGGAAAGTCTCACCGATTTGGTGTGGAGTGTGGACTTACATTATTTTATTTGATGTCCATTTTGTTTCTCGATCATGCAAGGTATAATACTTGTACCTATTGTAATGAAATTTATCCTTTGTAATTATTGCTTAACATTTGGCTGGACTGACCTGGCTTTATTTATAATGAACTCCTGGATAGTGTTTCACCGTATAAAAACTTCAAATCAATGCCTCAGCTTTAATTTATTATCCTCATCGTGACACCGAACGCGGTGAATGTCCTTGCCATACGCGGACAGTGTTAAACAAGGAAATGAAACCGAGGGGTTCCGTTCAGGCCCTTCACAATTTGTTACTGTCTGGTTTTAATATGCGGATACCGTTACAATAATGACTTTAATATAAACCTCCCTCAGATCTCCCTCCGCAGTACCCTACATCACACTGCTAAAGAACATGTCCACCACCCCCTCCACTACATCACAACCTGACTCTCTCGAGCAACCTCCAGACAACATTCTAGAACAGTCTACACAGAACATTCTAGAACAATCTACGCAGAACATTCTACAATCCCAGCTATCAACCCAGGATATGCTCGAGTCCCTCTCCTACATCTCAGATTCTCCCGAGAGTCCAGCTATGAAGAGGAGGGGTAATTTACTGAACTTTAAGAGGGACAGTGTGGAACAGTCGGAGGATGATCTGATAAAGCAGATGGGGAGCTCTATTGGTCTTACTAGAGGGTAAGCCCTTAACCTTTTTACTTAACTAGAGGGTGAAATGTTACCTTTATTTCTTTACTGTGTACTGGAGGGTAAAACTTTACTTACTTGTTCATATTTACAATTTTACCTTCACAGTTTACTTCTTTAATTAAGGATACAACTTAAATCGTATTTATTTGCTAGAAGATAAAACATACATTTAAGTTAATTAATTAATCAGAAGGCAAATCTTGATCTTCATCTAGACAGAGGGTTAACCTTAAAATCAACTATTTTTCTGAACCCAAAGGGTTAAATGTTTGATCGCGACATGACCCTAAATCTAACTCATTTCATGTGGCAAATCCTCCTTAGAAATATCCTCTGTGCCTTAAGCTCACTCTTTACCAGGGACCAAGACTACACCGAAGTCCATTCAGACCCCAAACTCCCTGACATAAACACGAAGTCCGAAAGTCCGGGAACAGATCACAAGCTAATAGACCATTCCTTCACCGAGGAGACACCGTCCTCCGACAACAGCCCAAACTTTGCCGCCAAATTTATTAGGCTTGTTAGGAGGAGCACGTCCGACGTTTTGGTAACTAATTTATTGCAATTATCTGCCGGGGTGAAAATGTTTTAGTTCACAAATGAAAGATCGAGTGAGCGCTTAGCTTCTTTAAAATGCGTGTTAACAAACTTGCACTTTTAACTTTTCAGATGCAATCCCATTCCTCTGCCACCTCTATAAGTTGGGTTGGTAGGCGTGCCCTTCGGGGATGTGCTTTTAAAATTGCTCTTCATGAATTATTTTTTCGCGGTACCGACCTTCACTGCTGGATTTCAAATCAAAAGCGATCGAAGCTGCTGTTTAAACGCTACGGTCGAGTTTTTTCGATTTCCACTCAACGGCAATAAACATTTTAATCATAAAGTTAGGAAGAAATAATCACTCAGGCGAGGGTATGACTAAATTAAAAGTACCATACATAATAACCCGTTATGTGTCACCATGGTTATATGCAGTAATAATATTAATGTTACCTGCAGGAGAATCACGACGCTAAAAACGATCCGTCACTCTCAGTGGACGCCCTGAACAGTCGGGCAAAGAACGGAGTTCCAGTCATTCCTATCATCGAATGTGACATTGCTTTTAGGTCAGTAATCAGTATAAGTTTATCGTGGTCCCATAAATAATAAATCGTTTCATCCGAACAATAAGTGGATAACGCTAACTTTATTTACGATCAACAGTCCGACACGTTAACTAGCTAACGTGTAAAGTAATATTATTATTAACTTAACAATTTATAATCATTATGATTAAATCATTGTCTCTCTGGTCTTACCCTCGGTTGAACTTGACGGTGCTTACGTGTGTGCTTCCGTACGAATAATTGTAAGACAAGTACTCGAGCACCGAAAGGTGGTTTATTATCTTATAACCGGCATTTTGTACAGAATATCTTATCCATGTTTTTGCCTCACAGGAGATATTGTGATATTTTCTAAATATAACTGTAATACATTGATGTTAAGTTTATTTGAATTTTGAAATAAAAAATAATCGGTATTTTGTTCAGAATATCGTCCAAGACGAGCGGAGAAGTGTTGTCGTGGTTTAAACAGCAGTTAGCGTGGGCGGGTCTTATCGTCACTTCAGAGGTCGGCTGCTCTCAGGACTTCTTTATCAAGGTACGTGGACATTGTCGCTACGGTTCTGCACATGGTCAAGTTCTTGATGGTTTTTTGAATTTTGGTCTTGAAATGCTGAATGACAAAACATTTTTTCCCTCAGCATTTCAAGAAGAAGATTGTGCAGGCTCTTGTTACTACTTCGCTTGTAATTTTGTACATAATTTTAAACTTGGCAACATCACTTTCCAATAAGTTCGACAAAAAAACAGAATATGTTATTTAAGGAAGTAAAAATCAGTATTCTAATATATTCATTTATAGCTGATTCACACATTATACCTTTATTTAACAAGCAATACCTCGTCTATAGAAGATAGGGAAATTATTAAAAACTCCAAATGTTATTGTGAGACGATTAAGAAAGATACTGGGTACAGCATTTGACACAAAATTTCAAACATGAAGATGATCCCCAACATGGTTGGGGATATAAAAATTCCATTAAAAAACAGTAAGATAAGTTATCCAAGTAAATCATGTTTAACAATGTGGCAATAATCTCGCAACTCAACGATCAAATCATTCAATCTGCGGCAAAATGGAGTCGAACAACTTTTATTTACGAGTGAATGTTCGCTTGTGAAGTATATCGAGCAATAAACTCTCGCTATCGAAATGACTGTATACAAACGTGATAAAAACATGTCCATCTCATCATCTCCAATTTCCGGTTCCCTTTTCTGTGCTGGACACATTGACATAGACATTGATGGATCCCTCAATTTATGAAGGGATACGTCAACCACTACTAAGACTGCCGGCCATTCGGCTGAAAAAGTGTCCCTAAAGTTATATTTCCAAACTCCGCTCTGAAATGCTTCTTTCCATTTGGTATTTTCAAAGTCTATGGAAACTATTGCTGCATGTCCTTCACCCAATTCTTTAAGTTTCTCGAGGTCATTTTGCAAAAACATAGGAATGTGATTTGAATGTTGTTTTTCATCAGAAAAGTTGTCGTTTTCAATCAAGGTAAGAATCGGCTTTGGCCCATGTATGAGATGATCTTGGTCCTCATCCCAAATGAAGCTTCGGTCATCTTGAATCCCTTGACGGAATTTCTTTATTATGGACAAGATGCTAGTAATCTCCGATGAATTTCGAATAGAATTTGATAGTTTGCGTCTGTTTTTGTGGGGAATAATATCTTCTATAATTCCCCTGTAATTATCCAAAACCAAATTTGGAACTTGAAAACATGACTGCATTAAATCATGTGATACCCAGACAGTATTAAGGAAATTGCAATCTTGTAACCTGTTACCGAGAGACTCTAGTAAAAGAATATGATGTTCTTCTTGGCGTAGATCAGTTTCGGATGTCATGCTGTGAACATCGTCAACAAACAGATGACACTCATTAAATGAAAAGTTGAAACCTCCCAGATGAGATTTGTCAGAAAGTTTGGTTAAAAGTTTGGTTAATTCTCTTTCCAATTGATTGAATTTGAAATCAAATTGGCCATCGATAATTTCTTTGTGGTATAGTTTCTTTATTGCTGCTTTTGACCATAAAGAAAATCTCATAATTTCTATATATTTTGCAAATTTCTTGAAATCATCTCCCAAATTAGCACAATCTTCCGCAAATGCCTGAATTTCTTCTGGTATCCACGACATTGCATTGTGCTGGTGATGGAAGAACTTCAAGGCGCACCATTTTCGAAATGATCTCTTGAACCAGTCTTTATTCCATGTAACCACTATAGCTCTCATTTCTGAGCACATAAGTATGGACTGCTTTCCCAATACTTTTTCTGTGGCAATCAATAACTGTGAATCACTTATCCTATCACATATAATATCTCTTTCGTAGGAATCTGGCACATAAATTATCACGGGATACATATGCCTAGTAATTAGATCGGGTATATCTGTAATCCTTTTGGTCGGACTAAGTTTGAAAGAGTAAGTAAGGTCAGCAGGGCCATAGCTCAAAATCTTGTTATCCTGTCCAATCACAACAAATATATGTGGACATCTCCATTGTTCCTTGAGAAGCTCCAAAAAGAGTTGAGCACCGTTTAAGTTTTTAGTTAACGTCTTTAATACAAAAAGTGCGGAATTTATATTCGATAAATCGACCGTTTTGAAACACTTTAGCATTTTAATTACTCGTAACCTTAACTTACTGCAGCTTTCTTCTTTAGTCGTAACGAATAGGCAAAGTAATCCCTCGCCCATGTGTTCTTGGAGCTCATGAACTGTGATATAATATCTCAATGAATTCAGGTCATGACGGATACTTTCATCCGGTTCTATTAGATCCTTTGTATACTTCATAATCGTGAACTGATTATTGAGTGAAATTTGTAATGTAGAGAAGAATGCGAAAGAAACCTCTGCATAAAAGATTTCCCAAATTTCGTTTCGGAATATACATCACAGGTTACCACGATTGTTCTCCCTCTAGCACTTACAAAATCTGATGACATTTTCCCTTGTTTTAACACCAGGCACTTTGCAGACAGCAGAAATGTTTCAAATCGTCTCAAAGCTCCCTCATTTGGGACGAAAATAAAAACAGGCCTTGTCGTTAGCGCTCTCTCTATGATCTCTAGTATCTTTCCTTGCATCAAAATAGTTTTGCCTGATCCTGCTGCTCCTTCTATCCAAAGTTTAGATTCGTCCTCAGAATAAATATCCATTTGTTCTTTAGTTAAACACCTTATACCTAAGTGCTCCTTAAAATGATCCGGTGCTTTCACAACTTCGCTAGATTTCGGTTTCCTCCATCTGATTGATAAATCTCCATTTTTCGACAGACGATCAACTCTCTCTATGGTACGAAGCAGGTCATATCGGTCCTTCAATTTGTTTCTCAATTTCGAATCAAAACAAGCTATGCCAATCATTCGAGATCTAACTTTTTCTGGAACCGTTTTCTGATTAGCAATGTTTAAGCGCCACCATGCTTCAAAATCTTTAAAATCCTCCTGGTAAACCAATACATTCACAATGCTAGCGGTGCTGTTGCTTAAGTCCTCGGCGATGTTGTTTTGAAACTGGTCAGCCTGACTTTCAGTTAAGTTTGGGAGGATGGTAAAAGTGTAAATTGGGAATTTATCTTCAAGACCATCATCAACATTAGATATTGCTGTTATCATCTTGTGGGTCTTTTCAAGTTGCTCGGTAGATTTTTTTAAATGTTGGCTAAAATTTTGGTTGGTCCATCCCTTTGCTGGAGCTTTGACCTCAAAACACGCGATGAACTTATTTCCGACAACTACGAAATCAGTTTCCCCATCAACGTTTGAATTAATGGAAGGTTGAAACAGAGTGTGGGTGGTTTTGGATCTACTGAAACTGTGAATCACCACCATATCCTGATCGCTCATCCTCTCAAATGCCCTGTAAACACTAACCTCGGCTTCCCATTCAAGCTGCTGACGAAGCGTGGTTGCTTGATCGTCAGAATCTTGTAAAATATCGTCATGCTTTCTCGATGTTGAAGATGTCATAATGTTTAGACTCTGGTGCCGGAGGGATCATGATCGGTGTTCCATCATTGCATTGTGTTTCTAATAGTATCTCGTACACCTCTCTGCCATGTTCCTCAATCTTTTGTATCTGCTCCTCGCGTATCTTCTCCTTGGTCATTGAATAATACGAAGCATAGTCCTAAACGTAATCCATTTATTAAAAAACATGGCGCAATTAAGTTACACTATACGGATACTCTGCTAACATTTTAATTGAAATTTATCAGTGAAAAAAGAGCAATTTTTGATCCAACGTAAAGTTAACTAACAAAGTAAATTTGAATCCAAATACATACAACTTTAAGTAAATTCGTAAATATTATTATACTAGAATATGTACCGAAGCATGACAATTATATGCAAAATGATTATTGATTTTCTGTACAAGCAATACAAAATAAAACTTAGCATTAACTAAGAAGAGTAGGTTTTGGTGTAAACTATAACACATAGCTAGACTATAAAAACACTGGGAAACCAGCTTCCTATCCATTATTTATCATCAAATTAAAAAGTTAAAAGCAATTCCGGCCCGGTTTGATAAACAAAATTCTAGATTTTTTTGCAGCATGCGCGGAATCTCGATTTTTTTCATTCTCCGCGACAAATTGCGATTTTCTCAGATCCTCGCGACAAATCGCGATTTTTTCAATTCTGCACGACAAATCGCGCATTTTCCTTTAAATCTGAAGACCAAATTCGCATATATTTCTTCAATTCTGCGGGCCGAATATCACGTTTTCTATAAATATAAACAAGGTACCATGAAACATGGACAAAAAATTTTTCAGAAAAACTTTGACTTAGAAAATTTTTCTAAGGCAGAGCTCCCGCTTCCGAGCTCGTATTGCGAAAGGGAGGCCTGCCCTCCGAGATCGCATTACAAGGGGGAACCATCGAGTCCAAAATCGTACATCGAAGGGTAGGTGCGGACTTCGGAAATCGAAAAAAAAAATGTCCGCTCATAATGAACAAAAGTAGTTTCCAGAAAAACTTTTAAAAAACTTTGACTTTGTTCACAAAGGTAACACGACTCCTGTCCGACAGCGACATCTGTCCGACTAATGGGTATCAGAAAAAAACGACATCTGTCCGAAATTGTGATCTGATTTCAATACGACACATTTCCAATTAGAAACATGATCTGAACTGTTACTTGCAAATTTGTATACGTAACATTGTTAAATTGAGATATGATCTGAGCCATAGTTTACCAGGAATAATCAGTCCTTAGAAGAGGGGGAGGTGCCAGCCATCAGGGAAGAGTCCGTGGACTGTGAAGAGCTGATGGAAGAGTTTAGGTGCGGATTTGAAGGTACCGTCGACTACCCAATGCTCCGCGTCCGCCATATGATCTGCGTTCTTAGGAGTCCCCCAGAGGAAAGATCGACGAGTCAGTTCGTCCCATCCAGAGTCCCAGAGCATCATTGGACTGTTGTCGGTAGAGAGGATGTAGTTTGCAGGAATGGATAGCGTTTCCAGATCTCTCGGGTCTGTTTGCTGCAGATCTGGGTCTGTTTACTGAAGATTGGTTGATTTTGTGGATTGCGATAACTGATCTCCATAAGGCCGCTGTCCTGTATGTACTCATGTAGGCTGTGTCCTGTGATGTGATCGACAGTGTACGGCTATACTAGCACAATCCTGTCCTCAAATAGTCAAATAGTCAATCACGTATCGATGGATCAGAACCCATGAATGGATCACATCAGTATTCGAACAATGGGAGCAACGTCACGAGATTACCCGTGAGCTTGTGAAATACGAATGTGAACCGAAATTACAATATGATCCGAAATTCGGACAGATGTCGCCAAAAACGACTCCTGTCCGACAGCGACATCTGTCCGAAATCCCCAATTCGACTGTCGGACAGATGTCGCTGTCGGACAGATGTCGCCCAATCGTTCACAAATACGACTGCTCTGTAAGAAGATAAATAATGCCAAACAAGTAAAAGGACCAAGCTGTAAAATAAGTGGTTACGTCGTGAAACGGTGGTACTGGTAGGTAAAGGTAAGACAATCCGATAAAACGAAACGAAGTACGATAACAAAAGTCAAAAAGCATAATGTAATTATATATTGTATACTGTCCTTTCAATCTGCGGACTAAATATCACGTTTTCTATATATAAGCTTATAAGCATAAACAGGGTAGCATGAAACATGGACAAATGTAGTTTCCAGAAAAGCTTTGACTCAGAAAATTTTGGGTCCGAGTCATTCTCGATACGTACCTCTGAAGGCGGGAGACCTGTTTTCCGAGATCGCATTACAAAGGGGAACCCTCGAGTCCAAAATCGTATATCGAAGGGTATGTGGCAGGTGCGGACCGAAGGGGGGGGGGGGGGGGGGGGGGCGATGGCACCCCTGCTCCCTGCTTCCTATACCCCTGACCCCTGACTCCCTGACTCCCTGACTCCTTGACTCCTTGACTCCCTGACTCCCTCTTCCTGTGTGAACAGGTGACAACATATTAAAGCCGCATTTGCAGGTGACAGCAGATAGCCGCATCTTTCTGAAGGGAGCTGAGAATTTGGAGCTATTAAAGAGAATACACCCTGAGAGAGGGGACGGCATGAAACCCTTCAATAGAAACGAGGTAACCCCTGCTTCAGGTTTCATATTTTTAGATTTGAATTGTTAAAGGCTGATATTATATAATGAATCGTAATCAAGAAAAGCACATTATTCGTTGTTCATAGCCTCAGTTCTCAATTTCATCTTTCCAAATACGTAACTACCATAATTTAAGCATTCATACACAATTTATACAAATAAAATATCTATTTGTAACATAATATATATAATATATATAGTTATTGTTATGTATTTAAGTATTCACATCAGCACATAACATCCCTGATCCCAGATCAGATCTTCTCACAATAACCCTCCCTCTTCAGACCTCGCTGTTCTGTGCACGTCAGAGCACGGACGGATTCCTCTCTGCAGCGGAGAGACAGCTCATCCTCTACGATATCGTAACCAGGATACGGACAGAGCATCCTGTCACGGTCGGAGAGATCAAGTTTTACCAGCACGAGTCCGTCGTGTCCGGCCTTATCTCAAACAGTGTCATCAAACAGGTGAGTGCAAAACAGGAATAGGAATAAGAAAATAAAAAATATGTGGCGGATAGAAAGACGCCCCCGCAGTTCCATTTTGAGAGTATCGTCATATACTTGAGCTGAAGCGGAGTGAGTAAACTTCACCGTCAAGACCCAGAAGCTGTCGTATCGGAGCATGCAGATCTCAGAAATCGTTCTCGTTCGAATCATATTCGCTCTCACTGAACTCACTGAGCGACTCACTGAACCTGACACCCACAGCACCTCCCTGGTCGATGAATTCCTCCTCATCTTCACAGTGATATTTGGTATTACTATCAGTCCACCACAGACGAGACTTTCTTCTTTTGTCGCCTGCACCTGAAGAAATTACGTTCAGTCAGTGGATTTTCTCGTGAATCATGCGATTCTGTTTTCACTCTCTTATGCATATTGCATATTGCATATTGCATATACCATAATTTCTTCTGAAATTATTAGAAATTAATATGTTTTGAATCTTCGTAGAATTATCACCTTTTGTCTGACTCTGCCTGCACCGAGTCCAATGTAAGATATACTCATCAAGTGAATCGTCACTGTCGTAACCGTTAATCCTTATGTCCCGGACAGCACACGGTTTATTTTTGAGGGTTGCCAAGTCTTCCAAATGAAGTCTGTACTGGTTCGGACCACTCACCTTTTCGTAAATTCTGTAATGGTTTGTTAGGAATTGGTGCTGGGGTTTGAGACTTTTTGGGAATTTTAAGCGGATCCCAGATGAACAGTCGATGAAATTCCAAAGGCATTTACTGAGCTGTAAATGGAAGAGTATTTAATTACCGAAGTAATGGTCGCAAATAATCTCTTGACATGATCAGTTGTGGTATAAAGGTGGCAACCAGAACTCCGATGATGAGTATTCCTGCACCCAGACCTCCCAATGATATCACGATCAGAATCAGTATATTCACTGAGGGATTTGAAAATCGTTAGGTTGTCATTCTTGGCCTTTAAAATTTTAAACTTTTAAAGGACGGCATGATAGAACATTTGTGTTTAAGTTCTTTCCATGGTTAAAAAAGTGATATGTAATAATAATTTAGGTTGCAACATAAGTTTCACTTACCAACATTGGCTCCGGATTTAGCAGATGATATAGATGCTGCTGTGTCTTCGCTACGTTTTCCAATGTTTCTCCAATAATCCGCTTCTTCTGTCTCTATTGAATCATCGTTTGCAAGGACCGGAAAATCAGTCTTTTCGGGTCTTTTTTCTAAATATAAGATATCGAGATCATTTGCTCGTACAAAATGATGCTCTTCATTCTTTCTGGTCAGGTTCTGACTGTTTTCATCGTTCGGTTGGGCATCGTTATCGTCTTCAGAATTTGTTGCTATTAATTCCTTGGTCACAAACGAAGCATCATCTGCTGTCTTAAGCAGAACCAATGAGCCAGGTGCTAGATAATCTATCTCTTCGGGGTTTTTGTTGTCTCCGAGATCAGTTTCTTGCGGAAGTTGAGGCTCTACAGGACTCCTGATCAGATCCGTTTCTCTGCTGATAACGAGATATTGTGAACTGTTCGAATTGTGAAGGGGTGCTGCCTCCATGAGATATGAAAAAGTGATTCCAATCAGTTTGACTAGTAAAACAGCCATATCGAATCTTGTAATTGTAGTTTTCATGAAGTCTGATAATTGCTAACAACCGTATGATGATGAAAAAGCTAAAAATAAGGCTGCTCACGTTGCGCTACGCGCAATAGAACTTGTTGTCAATAGCAACGGGTTGGACACACGTGCAGCTGATTTCTGCTCTGCGCGTAGAAATTCAGATCGTCGTAAATACGCACTGCGCCTCAGTACAGTGCCTGATAAATGATAAATGATTTGCTTTATCATATTTGATAGTATAAACAACAATCTATTTGCCATCGAAATTTCACTGTCATGTCACTAATCTACAACCTTACAACGAAAATGCTTACTGCACAATAAAAGTAAATAACTTACAACTTAAAATTTTAATAACTTACACATTACACTTCCCCAGATTTACCCGCTGCATCAGAAAAGTAAACAAAACGTACTGAATCGAGTATGGGTGTGGAACTTCCTCGGAACTCAACCACTTAATCTGATCAGGCACTACTTTGGGGACGAGATAGCCATCTACTTCGCCTGGCTTGGATCTTACACTTCCATTTTAGTTGTGCCCTTGGTAATAATAATACCCCACAGTATTTTAGTGTTATGTTATTTTGGTCGTAATATTTGATGTGTTCATAACAGTGGGTAGAACAGTAGAACTCATAAAGTTAAGATTTTAAAAAGATGTTAACTACTAGAACCTCATATTTGAACCTCTTACTTCAGATAGTCGGTTTCTCGATAGGCCTGTTCTACGATGACGACGACGTCAATTCGGCGGATTGGTGTTTTACTTTCTACGCTTTTTTCAACGTAGTTTGGCCTACACTATTTCTGGAAATTTGGAAAAGGTAAAATATCTCGCCTTTTCACGATTTAAAAAGACAAAAAAAAGACAAAAACTGTTCGATGTATATTGTATGTGTTAGCTGTTACGGTCACAAATTAAACAAATATGAATACAATAGCAACCTCATAGTAATCGTTCTGACACCTTGTAACACAGGAGAAGCGCAGCACTAGCTTGGGAATGGGGCACCCTGGGTCGAGACAAGGAGACCCAGGAGATACAACGCCCCCAGTTCCACGGGACCCTAGGTGGTAACCCAGTGACGGGGGAGGTTGAGATTCAGTACTCCAGCATCAAGAGACAGATCAAGCAGACAGTGTCGCTGTTTGTAAGCGTGGTGTGTCTCATTGTGGTTCTCGTCAGTATGCTCGCTGTTTTCAGGTAGGAGCTGTAAGGGGGGGGGGGGGGGGTAGGAGCTGTAAGAGGGGGGGGGGGGGGGGGGAAGAGGTGTAAGGGGGGGGGGGGGGGTATCTGCTACAGCTACAGGAGTTACAGTGGCGTAACTTTGCGGCCTGTTGGCGCCCCCGCCGAAAATGCGCCCCATGTTGGCGCCCCCTCCCCTTTTGGTGCCCCTCCCTAAAACTGAATAAATAAGGTGATTTTAGAGGATACGCCGGTAAAATTTCTAAAAAAGTGTGTTTCTAGAGCAAAACGTGCAGATTTGCTAGTACCTCAGTTAAGTTTTTCAAAATTGTCCCACATTCAAACAACGATTTTGCGCCCCCTAAGATGGCGCCCCCCCCCCCCCCGCACAGCGGGGTCAGCGGGGCCCTTCGTTACGCCACTGAGGAGTTATCGTTCTTACAAAAGTGCATAAGAATTAAATTACCTTCAGACTCGGTGCTAAATCTTCATGACTAAAATCATTTCTAATGTTGTTCAATATTTACAGGTTTGACGACTACATCCAGTACATTTGTAAAAATAACACCTTCCCTGACTTTGTTCCCTCCTTCCTCACCAAATTTGTCAGATACACACCTAAAATACTCCTCCCCATCACCGTTGGGATTCTCGATGGTAAGATCTCCACGTCACAGCTACTTAAACCTAATAACACTTAGTAGCACCTAGTACTTAGTAAGTTAGTAGCACCCAAAAACTCCTCAATCAACATTTGTATGATTTTTCTCCAGACATTGGTACAAAGGCTTTTCCATCCGTAATAAATCTTGAAATTATGTTTTTACAAGTCATAAACAGTAGATATTCTAAACTTCTGCTTATGTTGCAGTTATGTACAGTAAACTAGCGTTCTTTCTGAACGAATGGGAGAACTACAAGCACCAGAGAACGTATGAGAATTGGTTGGTTCTCAAACTTATCCTCTTCAAGTTCGTCAACTCTTTCCTTGCTCTCTTCTACATCGCCTTCTACCTTCAGGACTTTGACGTGAGTTGAGGGAGCACAGAATTTCGATTTCAAGCTAATTGACAAGCTAGCATGTGTTACATGGTGATGGTTACCATGGTGATAATATTCGGAAAAATAATTGCAGTTCTTGAGTTTTAATTTGAGACTTGAAGGTATTTTAGTAGATTCGATTAACATCCATGATCCAAGTGAATAAGTATTGCTCAAAGTCAATCGCGTCATTTGACTTCAAAGAATGTGATACCAACACTTTTATTTCAGAAGCTACAAGAGACTTTAGCAGCTCTGTTGATAACAAAGCAAATAGTTGGTAACTGTGGGGAGATTCTCGGGCCGACTCTGATCAGCTGGGCCAAGGTTTACCTGCTGAAAAGACACAACAGTACAGAGAACAAGGCGGAGGAGAAGTTGTCTCAAGTTGAGACGGAGTCAGAGAAACCGAGATATGATAGCTCTTTTGATGATTATCTTGAAATGTTCATTCAGGTTGGTTTGATAGTGGGTGTGATTATCATCAAGTTATATTAAATTTAAATTCCAAAACGCTGAGTTACAAAGGATGTAAAAAAGATCTAACTGTCACTTTCTGTAAAAAAATACTTTTCATATGCTTGACATATCGTCATATCACATATAAAAACTTAAAGTTAAATTTGCCGTTTACTCGATTAAACTTTCAGATGGGCTACGTGATTTTATTTTCGGCCGCATATCCTCCGGCTGCAGTTTGGGCCTTCCTCAACAACATTGTAGAGATAAGAGGAGATGCTTTTAAGCTGGTTAGTTTCACTTTCAGTTTTGTGTTTCACTTTCAGTTTTGTGTTTCACATTCAGTTTTGTGTTTTGCTTTGGAGGACCAGTGACCAGTCTATATTACAGGAGCTGTAGAATGTCTACTGTCACTGATAACGATAGTTGAGGAAGTTATTCATATCACTTTTAGTTCTTTAAGCCTAACTTGTCCTGCACTTAACACGGCTGATAGTGATAATGAAGTAAAAACTGGAACAATTCCATATTTTTTGTTTTTATCCAGTTTCCCACCTATTAATTTCCACAATAAACAGCAAATTAACCTAACATGGAACTGCACACCCAGGTAAATGGGCTGCAGAGACCCTTCATAAGCAGAGTAGAAGATATCGGGTTCTGGCAGGACGCGTTCGAGGTGCTCAGTGTCATTTCTATTGTAGTGAACTGTTCCCTCATCGGTATCAGGGGACAAGTGAGTTCAGTGGGACATTTTATGTTTTACTCACTTAGTCGATTAAGTACGCATTACTGATGTGAATTATGAACTGAGCGTGATTTGTACTGTTACTTGTCAAATACTTTGATTTTTAATTTCCCATCATGCATCAGCTAGACCATGTCGTTCATCATCCCCTTGTAGTTCAACTACTGGAACTATTACATTTCAGGTGGGACGGTGGTTTCCGAACTTCACCACCGGACAACAAATCCTGTTCGTGATAGCCATGGAGCACGTGTTCCTCACTATAAAGTTCATTATAGACAGAGCCATTCCAGACATACCAGGGTGGGTACAGCTCGCCACTGCCAAGGAGAAGTACACCAAGAACAGGGCTTTGAAGGGACTGGAGAAGTTAATGCAGACGGCTCGGTTAAAGGGACACGTTCGTAAGAAGGTGGACGCTGTGAGGTCGAGATTAGTCGAGAGGAGGGTGGAGGAAGAGAAAGGGAATCAGGAACAAATTCAGAGTTATTCAGAGGATAATACCGAAATAAAAAAGTCTAATTCGGTTTCTAGATATAAGATAGAGTAATGGATATTCATATTGTGGCGACCGATCCATAAATTTCAGATCGTAAATTTGAGTTTTGAAAAAGATTAAATCCGCATGAATTGAAGTTTTAATGATTCAGATCATGTGTAGCTGAAATTCAAAGTAACTTTAAGCTTTTCTTTAATTTGATTCTTCCACTTCCAGCTACTAAAAGAAGGGTTTATTTCAATTTCTTATTAGGTTTACTGTTAATTTTTTTGTTTAATATTTTGTTAATATTTGAGTACGTTAAGCTATTTAAAAAGCGATAGATTTTTTCTCTGTCAAGTATTAAGAAATTAGCAAATTCGCTACTTTTAATTTTCAGACAAAATAAAAACTGGACGAATTAATCTGATTGGAGGCTAATATGTCATAGTCATATAATAAAATGCTTCGTGTTTAGTTGCACAATCAATGCACTTGAGCACAAGCTGCAACTGTAATCATACTTTATGTACTCTGTTTCTGGGGTTACGCTAGAATGTTACGGTACTGGAGCTCGGGGCTAGTTTTCTCAATCCAACGTGCAATATTTCTATAAGTATAATGAAATATCCACTGCACTCCTCAGACGGTATTAACTTGCTGCTGAACCGGTTCCTCTTCCTCTCTGAGCTGACCGTACTCTATAGTCCTCAGACTCACGTGCACGTTCTTCAGCAGCTTGTGCAAGAAGATAGCAGACACTCCCCCCGTTATCATTATCAGTCCGATAACGTTCAGCACGTCCACACTCTCTTTGAACCACAAAGCTTGGAAACAATACCCGAACAAAACGTCTGTGTTCCTCATGAGGACAGCAGGGGTGGTGATATCACGTGACAGGGCCCTGAAGAACAGATACAAACTGACCAACATGAGGAGACCACTGAGGAGGAGGTAGAGTCTGTCAGAACCGCAGTGCGGTGCTGTGTACGGGGTGGCGGTTATGAGTTGTACCGCTACACTGGTGGGCAGGAGGATAACGTTTAACCAGAACAGAGTGGTGAGAAGGGATACACTAGCACCCTGTACCCTGACTGCTGTGTAACACGCCCCAAGACATATAGCACCTACCAGTGCTAGTGCACACACGGTGAGACTCAAGTTTGCGTCTTTGTGGGACATTTTGCTGAAGATTATTGGTGGCTGCAAGGTAAAAACTATACCGAGAAAACAAGCGAAAGCGCTGGTAAAGTTGACGACGCCACACTTTTCTTTGAAGACGATCTTAGCGAAGAGACCGGAGAATAGGGGTGCGGTGTAGAGGAGGAGGATAGCGTCTCCAAACCTCATATGCTGGACGCTGGAGACTGTTAGGAGGAGTCCAGCCGCTCCGGAGATACTCACTGTAGCTAGTCCTACTACCTGTGGGGTGGTGGTTGCTAATTAGATGCTAATTAGTTGCTACTAAGAATGTAAAAAGGTCTGCTACTTGTTTAAATCGGTCATTCGAGCGTAGACCATGGCCTATCGGGCGCCTATCGGACGCCTATCGGGCGCCTTGCCATGGCCAATACTACGGCACATTGTGTTTGACCGTTTTACAACTCGAAGGTACGTCTCACCCCACCGTGTCGAATGCAGGCTGCTTGCTTAGCATGTGTCCAAGTTCCCTCTATAGAGTTCATGTGGGCTCCAGTCTCTGGGTCTACAAAGTTTGTAGAGTGATTCACATAAAGGTGTATATATCCCAAGCACGTCAGGTTGACATATCCCTCCCACTTGTCTGTGATGACGGTCGTCCCTCTCCTCACGTATACGATGTTCCCCAGGGTCCCAGCGTCACGATAGTTTCCAGGGCAGACAGCCAGAAAGCAGAAGTCAGAATGTCGCTGAACTCCTCCTGCCAGCCATGTTCCCTGGACAGGCCGTCCTCTGTTGAACTTCTGCTTCCCGAACTTCGCTTCATCAATCTCCACAATTGTAGAGGGTCCACCGCGACCGATCTTAGGGCTCGTCTGTATATCTTCTGCCATATACCTTATCCCTACCGTTTTATTACATTTTTTACTTTATTTACCTATTACTATACATATTTAATCTTAAATTAGCATTTTAGTGGAACTATGTAAAAGGGGATCGTTGCTAGCGTCGAGATTGTCTTAACCCTGCCTTAGTCAGTTGAAAGTCTGATAGCGTATGTTCCGTTTGATTTGACCAAACTAATGCCTTTCATTGCTTTATATGCTGTCGTATATAAGTGTGGAAGATCCGTCTGACTGTTGTCTCAGCGACACTCGCTCTCTCTGCAGTCCTCGTGACCGTCAGGCCCTCAGCAAATGATGATAGGATCAGGATGAAGTCACCATAGGTAAGGGTACTGTTCTGCAACTTGGCAACAACACTATAATACATGTAAAATCAGTCCAAAAATTGATCGTGTCACGTACCTTCAAGTTTTAATTGACCGATAAAATAACTAAAAACGGTCAAACACAATGTGCCGTATTATTGGCCATGGCAAGGCGCCCGATAGGCGCCCGATAGGCCATGGTCTCCGCTCGAATGACCTTTAAATCTATACCATTATAAGTAAATGCAGCGAACTTCAAATTGCACGTAAATAATATTCCCAAGAGGTGTGAGGGAGGAGTGGGAGATCTCCGCACACCTTTAGATTTTTAGATGATACCCGTAAATATTTCTCTAATATATTGACGCGACGAGAAGCAGTGCGGTCTATGGGTAATAAACCTAGAGCTAAAACCTACCTTGTCTCTGGGTACGAGGACACTGATGCCCTGATGAGTAGCACACATCACCAACACCCCAATACACACCCCACACTGGATACAGCATATCTCCGGGCTGCCCACACTCGGGGTACGCTTAGCGAGTGCTATGCTCAAACAGTACAGCGCACTCGACATCAACACCAGGGTCAGACCCACCACCTTGCTGCATCTCAGGGGTTCTGTTTGGGGAGCTGCTGGTACGTCTGATGTGAACCTGGCATGCTGTTCTGTTCTGAATGTCACGTGACGCCTTGTTTCTGGAGCCGGGGGAAGGGTTTCTCGTTCTGTTGGTCTGGGATCTGGTTGTCTTGTTTCCTTGCCGTTTGGGAGAACGAGCTGGACTGCTTCGAATGTTGTGTCCTCACCTGCTATCAACTCTTCCGTGTCATCAGAGTATGCGGTTCTCATGTCGTAGACGGTTTCGGATCAGTTGCTCTGGACATACTACTAAAATAGAATGTATAAATTAAAATGTAACTCCTTTATCACTTGCAAAGCCTTTTTTCCAATAATTCTTAGTCACACAAATTAAACAATAATAGTGTGATGACCCCATTCGTATCAAATAGTAGGGCAAATTAATTGGAGCTTGCAAAGATCAAACAAAATTCGGACAAGATAAAAAACCGAACAAAATAACAGCAAAGTAAAGATGAATGACTAAATAATCAGTTTGGTAGAAGTGTAAGAAAATACAACTGTAACTGTATGTTACTGAACAGAACTGAATAAGTGTGTAATTGAAATGACTGCACTACAAGTACTTAGTACAAAGTGTGATCAACAATTAGCATTGAGTTATCATATTATCAATATTAATATTCAGTTACAGTGAAGACTAAGATTGGGTCACATGAACGAACGTCAAACTTGCCAGACACGAGCTACAGAGTACAAATCGAGGGAAAGGAATGAGCACAGTATATCAGTCTCACGGTAAAAAGAAGTTGTATATAGGTCAGAAATTACTAATTGTCAAAGTACACTACTCAACAACTAATCCTACCCTAAGTTTTATAAGGGGTCTCTCAGTGTAGCTAATACTTGAGCTGCCCGTATTAAATTAATATTATGAGGTTTAGTAATTAGTTATACCAGGGCAGCGAAAAACTGGCCTCTTAATTACGAGCTTTGTTATTAAATCTATATTATATTATGGGCCTAAACTGCAGAGTATTGCGGCCAATGTCTTTATATATAATGTTAATCATAGTATGTGTAATTAGAGCTAATATAAGGTACAATCCTGTGTACAGAGCACTTGTAACCTTAAATTTACAAAATGTAAACAACAGAGCACCCTTTGTATTGCAATGCAAAATGAGAGACAGCAAACTTTTCAACGCACCTATACAGGTGAAATAGTAAATATGTAAATGAATAGACCAATAGGCAATAGTACCTTGGAGCACCGATATCTAGAAAAATCATTAAAAAAATTTAGAAACTAAAGACATGAAAATATTAATACTTAACAGTGATATGTAGAAAATAAAATTCAGCCAACAGCAGCTGTAGGTGCAGCATAAATATGTACAATTAACAATGTGTTAAGTCACACGCGCAGCGAAACCCAACAAGACCACAGATTATGAGCTTAATGTTCTTGAACGATCAATATAGATGCGCGCCGGCGCGCTGCGTAGCACACGCACGTGCGAGTCAAATGGTCTGTTATCTAGTTATCTGTACAGTGTAAAGTTTAACGCTGCAAGTCAGCCCCTCAGTGATAATTAGGGATATTTATTAATAATATATACAATACTGAATACATACAATATACATTCAAAGCCACTTTTAAATTCTACAAGTACAATATCAAAGATGAACAAACGCGATGTATGCAGTATGAGACTTAAAGAGTTCGCACTTCCCAACGTGTCGCAACTGTTCATGCCATTACTGTAGAAAGTCACTTTAAAGTTCCACAACTCAACTACTCATTTATTTTATCACACCAATGTAGTTTAAAGAGCTATATATATACGAGGCAGTGTGATTACCTTACTACTGACTACACACACAAAACAAACTAAGTCTAATGAGGGTTTAGTTAGTGTATTATTTTGTACTATTCGTAGTGTGTACTAGCTGTATCGGATGTGATCATTTACGTATTACGTAATATATAAGCCAGATTCTTATTATTTATTTATTACTTATTATATCCAGATTTTGACTAATTTAGGACCCTGGCACTTTGTTAAGCATAGTATAAGTATAGCTTTTGCTCGGAAAATAAACTAGTGAACAAAAATTCCGAGAACAAGCTGAAAATTGAGTTAAGAAATGCTTTCCAACAATAACACAATTATTTCACAATCGACCAAAAAGATTAAAACAAGATTTAAATACAATTTCAATGAACACAGATCTAAATGAGGGCCACTACATTTGGCGCTATTGCTATAATAACAGCAGCTGTACTTGGTACTTTCACATGAGGCAGTGTGTTATTGGGAATGGTTATATAGTTATATAGCGTCCTAATACCAGCTTTCCATCACGTTTGGTGTGGATATTGTATATTGTATATTCTGGTCCTGCTACTCTGGTCCTGAGCTATTGGTCCTGAGTCATAACTCTCCAGGAAAGCATTTTTACCCTACGTCATGGGGGGTTATTCGGAATCAGCGTCCAAAAATGCACCGATTTAAATCAATTCCATATCCACAGGGCCTTTTCACAAGAATTTTCTTAAAATTTGGGCGAGCGATTCAGTAGAAGCTTAGAAGCGATTGGAGAGCGAACCTCGAATTTATAAGCGGTAGGGATTCAGTCCGTTAGGGATTCGGCCTGCTTACCAACATTAAAGAGTATTTAGTGATATACTTATAAAAGTATATAGTTGCGTAGGTGATAATTTTCAGATATATGTCAACCAGGTCACGAGGATAGATTATGAGGATAGTGGTCATTATTGTGGTGAGGTGGTGTCATGCAAAGAAGATTCCTTTAAAGGAGTAATGAGTTGTACATGTAGTTATAGTGCTCATAAATTGTAAGTTATCAAAAAAATACCAAATCTTTCTGATATTTAAAACAACTGCGTGTATTTATAATGAGCCGATAGTATGCCCGTGGTCGCAGGGAGGAAGCTAGTATTCTAGTAGTATTTTTTATAGTCAGTTTTTATCGCATATTTGCCAGATAAACGTGGTCATACAGGATTAATTATCAGGCTACGAAATATCTAGTCATATATTACATAACAATGCCACATAACAATGCCACATAACAATGCCACATAACTACCAACGTTAGGAGTGTTGTGTCCATAATATAGGAGCCAATTGCCAAATAGTCTTCCCAAAGCAAGGATTGTATAATCTTCAAACGATTAGCTTTAACCATCTCTAATAGATTTTGTTCTAATACCAATTCGTGTATATTATATAATAAGCCAAAGGCAAAATACCACCTAGAGGCTAGAGATACTATAATAGCAACAAATGACTGAGAGGTACTGGTAAAACTATAGAAACACGTACCTGAGAGGAACTATATGAGAGGTACTGGTACTATAGCAACAAGTACCTAACTGGGCCAGAGCTCTCTAATACTCAGTTTAAAGTGATTAAAGTCCGCTAATTACACGGCTTATGAATAATGATACCAAGCTCTGGAGCATACACCTGTATTTCCTTATGTCGGTATCTACCAAAGGTGTACCCTAATACATTGCTGCAGGATCTACTGATCTACTGATCTACTGCAGCCCCTTTTCTCTACCGATAAACGACAAAACAGAGGTGAACAATCTAACACAGTTTTAGTTGAGTGACGTGTAAATAGTAATATTATCACCGTAATTTCACTCCTCTGCTGTCCATTAATTTCTTTTATCTCTTTTAATCCTTTATCTCCTGTACACGTCACGCTATTTGTTAATTTACAGAAATTAACGAATATAGCTTAAATCAGAAATTCGAACGAAAGAAACATCAAATCATGAGACTCAACAACACTACACGAATCCACCAGAACCGATAAGAATAATGATTAAAACAATTACAAAACATAATCATAAAGTAAGCAGATGTTCCAACACAAACCAGTCTGGAAATAAATGACCATCATCGATCGATCATCGGATCATTGTCCTATGTCTCGTGGGCTATCATGGCCCAGCCTCTTAAAAAGATTGTCCTATGTTTATATGTATTATTCATAAGCTGGTAAGTAATAGTTCGCGCAGACCTGCATCTGCTCAGCATGGTGATACCAAGCAACCCGGCCCAAAAATAGTGTTGTAGCAACAAAGCTTGAGACCGTCAGGTAGCAGTACTCCAACAATGATTTTAGGGGTGCAGCTCACAAAATTATGGTCCTAGATAATAACCATTTAGGTGAGCCATCTGGACGTTAACAAATCTTTAATAGTAACACCAAACTCCCAACAGGAGAAAGAAATGTAACCACACGAATGAGCAGTTTTATAGTATCTGAAAGACAAAATGGCCCGCCCACCTGGCCCATCAGACCCTACACAAAAAAGAGAATTGATCGTATGATGTAGGGATCGGCTCTGAGACTTCAGAACTTGCGTAAGTTTTGTGATATTGTAGAATTGTAAACAAAATTGTAAAAACTCTTTTTAGAACTGATCGGCAGGTGTTAAGGTTTCAATATTTGAATTAAATTTAGGAGGGGGCGGTCGATCAAATAATTTCTCTTGTGCAGATTATATGATCTGTAGAGAAATCTAATTGATTTATTTAAGTTTCTTTACTTCCAGGACAAAATTAATTGTAGCATAATCAGCAACACGTTTCAGGTAAAAGCCACGTATATAACGTTACGTTAAGCCGCGGTAGAATTAGCACCGTAGTATTATCATTTCATTGAGCGTGCCCATTACTCGAAACAGTCATGATAATTAGTGACCATGGCAACGGCTTTAGTAAAGTTTTTACTTGCGCAATTCTTCCCTTGTGGTAACTTAAGCCGGTGTGGTGTCACTTTTCATTTTCTTTCTCTACTTGTTATACTGTTTAATTTTGAGCTACCTTGTTTTAAAATGTGCTCACTGCTCTGCTCAATACACTGCTCGTTGTAGAACTTCACGTTTAACAGGCTATCAAGCTATTAACATGTATTTAACAAGGCATTAGCAGGTCCTTTACATCCCATTAGCAGGTCTTTATCAGACCATTAACATGCCTTCAACAGAACATTGTTGGCTTTAACCCCCGTCCAATGTACACTGGGAGTAAGGTAAATCAAAGTCAACATATCAAGGAGCAGGTTCAATCAAGAATGAAGTGGTTGGAAGCCTTCAAACATGTGCAAAATGTAAAGACGTGTAGTAAATGTTTAGTGTCGTTTAACCAGTATTGCACGCCTGATTGCTCTCAACCCAATAAAAACTATATAAATCACGAGAACAAGTTGTCCTGAACATGTTCTTATAACATATTTGATGTAAATGGTTAAATGACGAAATCGTTTGTGTCACTTGGTACATGATTTGCATTTAAAATGGTGCTGAAAGCTTGACATTTGCCCAGAGCTATTATACCACTATTGATTAAGATAATCGACTTAAAGTTTATGTGATGAGCCAAGATTCAAGATGTCTCTCTTGAGAGGTCGATCAAACAAAAAGAATGGTACTAACATCAGTAGAAACAATTTAATAGGGTATGAAGGACATGGAGTTTCTCACCAACTTTATGTTTGGATTTATCAATATCTCAAAATGTTATCATCTGAACATCCCATGAATCTAAACACGCAACTTATATACCTAGAAAAGCCCTAGCGAAATCATCCATCAGTTAATAATACATTTACAGCTTACATATTACATACTGCTTAATGGAGCTGCGGATATGCTTCTATAACAATGTACTATATTGCTTGTCAAAAATATCGCATCAGCTTGCTAGGTCACTACATCATGCAACTTATTTGCAAAGCATCACTGCTTTATCTGCTCCGTTTGTTTTGTATCTTTGTCATTTTACTGGCGATGTAGATTGTAGAGGGAACCAAACATCTTATATGCTGTTATTGTGAATAAGGTTTTGTGATTGAGTTAGGTTATTGTTAGACGTATGTTATTGTTAGGGTTTGGGAAAGATCTGATTAATGATACAACGTGTAAAAAGGTACTTTCGGTTTTGGGGAAGGGCTGGTAAAATTCCTCTTGAGATGAAATTTCGGGGGATCATACGTCAAAAATATCAGCTTGCAACGATCATATTTTTACAGCATCACTCCATTATCTGTTTCGTTTTTTTAAATCATTGTCAATGTAATCGCATTTATTGTGGTCTTGACTCAAGAGGGGGCCAAAAATTTAACCCTCTACATTTTACCCGCCGGTTAATGTTAGGGTCATGTATAGAGTAAAGGGTTGTGTAACTGTAAGGCCGAAAGAAGAAACACTGCTTGTGCTATTTTTGAGAGTAGCTAATATATCACGTTTAACTTTGTATAATGTATAATGTATAATGCAAATACCTAAAAGGTGCTGTAACCGAGATGGCGGCGGAGTTTGACCCGTATGGAGTAACCCAAGCTTACACTCATCACTCAGTTATCAGTAAGTCTTTGTAAGTTTGTGCTTTTTCAATAAAGTTAGTCACCTGATACGTATCCTTTCGTTGGAACTTAAGACTATGTTATTAAACGCATTTTTACTTTGAATTCAATTCGACCAGTAGTAACCTTTTTGAAGGAATGCGCCAATTATGCATGGTCAACATTTACCAATTTTTTTTGGCTCAAGTTTTCCATGTTATTTCTGCACTGCGAACGCGAGTAGCAGCAGCTTCAAGTCTCGCAGAAAAAGGAGAAAAAAGCTAAATTCTCGCAAATATAAAAGGCACATCCCGTACGAGGGACTTTCAATCAACCGATAAAAGTTCAAAAAGACTGAATACTCACAGAATAAAATTCCAAGAAATCCGTGACGAAAAGAAGTCCTTCTGTTGCGCTAAAGTAGCTGAAAGATTATGGCAGCTGTACCGTTAAACTTGCCTTACCTTAGTCGGTAATACTAATATTATGGGGGGGGGGGGGGGGGGTCTAATTTTGTCATTTTCGGGCCAAAGAACCATATTTATAACAGTCCATATTTTTACCCCCCATAATATTACCGACTAAGGTATGTTAAATAAAGAGATATTATGCAGGATTATGCAATGCCCAGTCTGATCGGGGACTCCTAAAATGTTCTAGTTGATGTGGCCCCCAGATATTATTCCAAAAACACTCGTGAAATGAGCTGTCCTCCCCGTATATGGCTTGATAAGATGCCTCATTTCTGAAACTTGCTGTAATAATGAAGAATATTCGAGTAACATATAAATGGAGTACTACTTGAAGCAGTGGTGACAGATAGAATGATGAATGATCAAATCTAGTTAGGATTACAATCATTTTATATATTTTGACTGTAGGAGGTACAAAGATTACATTCACAAAGATTACAAGGTATACATGGGCAAGTAAAGGAGCCTTACTCTCGGAAAGATCGCAACTAATGCTCAAATGCTGGTTCATATTCGTAACTCATTTTCCTGTAACTACTTTGTTCTTCCTGCAGACCGAACGCGATAGTTAACAATCAATCATACCAAATATGAAATAATAAATACAATTATTGTAGGACCTTTTAGTCAAGTCTTTGAAACATAATGCCTTAACGAAGCGAAGAGTTTGTTTAGTTGTATCAACAGATGACCAGGTTCATTGTATAGTCCTTATCATTTTAATGTAACTTGTAATCTGCATGCAGTGAGCGAAATTCAAAAAAGTCAGTACCATTGATAAGATAATTCGTAATTTAGGCATCAATCAAATAAGAATTAGATGGGCCTGAGTCTTGCTTTGAAGAAAGTTGTAAATTAGAAACGGACTGTAACTAGTAAAACAGTGGGAAATTATAAAACTACCAGAGCCTTGCACTCCTATCCGGCACTGCAAATATAGTATCTTGACTTTTGTCTCTTTCTCTCACACCCCACCTCTCATCAGCTCTGGGAGCGGAGATACTGACGAAGACAATAGACCATGAAGAGCACGAGAGAATACGAGCAATAGAGGAGGCGATAGAGAGGACGAGGGTTGCAGGAGTGGAATCTAAGGAGGTAGCTCTGGAGAAGTTAGCTAGGAAGTGCGCCAAGGCACAGAAACAGGTGAGTTTAATTTCATGGAGTAAGTTAGTACTTATAGCATGAATTAGAAGTATTTATAACATAGAATAGGGTCAGTCGGCATGACCTAGAAAGAGATCAATACTATCACTCGGGAACGTGGTTATGACCTAGAAAGATATTAATACTATCACTCGGGAACGTGGTTGTGACCTAGAAAGATATCAATACTATCACTCGGGAACGTGGTTATGACCTAGAAAGAGATCAATACTATCACTCGGTAACGTGGTTATGACCTAGAAAGATATCAATACTATCACTCGGGAACGTGGTTGTGACCTAGAAAGAGATCAATACTATCACTCGGTAACGTGGTTATGACCTAGAAAGATATCAATACTATCACTCGGGAACGTGGTTGTGACCTAAAAAGAGATCAATACTATCACTCGGGAACGTGGTTGTGACCTAAAAAGAGATCAATACTATCACTCGGTAACGTGGTTATGACCTAGAAAGATATCAATACTATCACTCGGGAACGTGGTTATGACCTAGAAAGATATCAATACTATCATTCGGGAACGTGGTTATGACCTAGAAAGATATCAATACTATCATTCGGGAACGTGGTTATGACCTAGAAAGATATCAATACTATCACTCGGGAACGTGGTTGTGACCTAGAAAGAGATCAATACTATCACTCGGTAACGTGGTTATGACCTAGAAAGATATCAATACTATCACTCGGGAACGTGGTTATGACCTAGAAAGAGATCAATACTATCACTCGGTAACGTGGTTATGACCTAGAAAGATATCAATACTATCACTCGGGAACGTGGTTGTGACCTAGAAAGAGATCAATACTATCACTCGGTAACGTGGTTATGACCTAGAAAGATATCAATACTATCACTCGGGAACGTGGTTGTGACCTAGAAAGAGATCAATACTATCACTCGGTAACGTGGTTATGACCTAGAAAGAGATCAATACTATCACTCGGTAACGTGGTTATGACCTAGAAAGATATCAATACTATCACTCGGGAACGTGGTTGTGACCTAGAAAGAGATCAATACTATCACTCGGGAACGTGGTTATGACCTAGAAAGATATCAATACTATCATTCGGGAACGTGGTTATGACCTAGAAAGATATCAATACTATCACTCGGGAACGTGGTTGTGACCTAGAAAGAGATCAATACTATCACTCGGTAACGTGGTTATGACCTAGAAAGATATCAATACTATCACTCGGGAACGTGGTTATGACCTAGAAAGATATCAATACTATCACTCGGGAACGTGGTTATTTATACATGCAGGGCTGCAATCGCACAGCTGACGAGAGGTACTTTCAATCAACCGAGAAAAGTTCAAAAAGACTGAATACACACAGAATAAAATTCCAAGAAATCCGTGACGAAAAGTAGTCCTTCTGTTGCGCTAAAGTAGCTCAAAGATTATGGCAGCTGTACCGTGAAACATGCCTTACCTTAGTCGGTAATATTATGGGGGGTATAATTTGGTCCTCTTCGGGCCAAAGAACCATATTTATATCAGTCCATAATCCATATTCTTACCCCCCATAATATTACCGACTAAGGTATGTTACATAAAGAGATATTATGCAGGATTATGCAATGCCCAGTCTGATCGGGGACTCCTAAAATGTTCTAGTTGATGTGGCCTCCAGATATTATTCCAAAAACAAAAAGATATCAATACTATCACTCGGGAACGTGGTTGTGATCTAGAAAGATATCAATACTATCACTCGGGAACGTGGTTGTGACCTAGAAAGATATCAATACTATCACTCGGGAACGTGGTTGTGACCTAGAAAGATATCAATACTATCACTCGGGAACGTGGTTGTGATCTTGAAAGATATCGATACTATCACTCGGGAACGTGGTTGTGACCTAGAAAGAGATCAATACTATCACTCGGTAACGTGGTTATGACCTAGAAAGATATCAATACTATCACTCGGCAACGTGGTTATTTATACATGCAGGGCTGCAATCGCACAGCTGACGAGAGCACAACCAACAGGCACTGAAAGGGTATTTAACATACGGGCCAACAATATCATATGCATAAATTATGTAATTGGTATAATTTATATATGTATGACTATATTCAGCCATTTGTGACGAGAATAATAATGTTAACCACGAGCTTGTAAAGTACACGGTTCACACAATTGTCCTGCAAATTACTGAATTTAATCATAAATCAAGAAAAGATATAAAAAGGTTTGTATCTTTTGTTTTCATGATTAAATAGTACATTTTCTACTTCCCTTGATCAGAATTCTCATGTCATAACTTATGCTCCCTTATCAAATTAAGATGAGAAGTACTTACAGTACTTACAGTACTTAGCTTAAAGTACTTGTACATAATTTGTAAATGTACGTATATTAAGGTCACGTGACTACTGACTAATTATAAATTATAAATTATAAATTATAAATTATAAATTATAAATTATAAATTATAAATTATAAATTATAAATTATAAATTATAAATTATAAATTATAAATTATAAATTATAAATTATAAATTATAAATTATAAATTATAAATTATAAATTATAAACTATAAATTATAAATTATAAATTATAAATTAGAAATTAGGAATTAGAAACTAGAGACTATGAATTAGAAACAAATTAGACTATGACGTGACTATGACGTCACTAGAACGGCATGATACATACTTCTCATTCCTAACCTCCACCAGGCGTTGGAGGATCTACAAGGACGGTGTGACCTGGTCCTGGAGGAGGCAGTCGAGAAGAACACAGGGGAGTGGGAGGAGAAGCTGGACACTGCCGTCAAGTTTGAAAAGGATTACAGTGACCGCAGGCTGGCGGAGAACCTTGCTAGGTACCACCTAGATAAATTTTTCAGTTTATTTTGTGTCCTCAGGATAAGAATTATCAGTGATTAGTTGATGATCAATTAATCAGTTACTGTGTTCAGTAGTTATACTTGCTGGTAGCGATTCGAGCAGCATTTTCGTGTCCCAACAACTCCCATCTTTCACTCATTTTATCAGAATAAGTCAACAATACCCTTGCAGGGTAGCTAAAGGTGCGGCAGAAGACCTAGAAAAAGCAGTTGTAGTAGCTAGGGTCGAAGAGAAAGAAGTAGCAAAACAACAGTTGGAAGACTTGAGAGTGATAAAAGAGAAGGAACGCGAGGAAGCTATCGTCAAACTTAAAGTAGGTATTTCGTTGAATCAGAAGCTATCAATATAAGAATAATGAATATCTATGATATTACTGAGAAGAAGAATATATACTTTGTCGCGTTACTGAGAATTCTGACAGCAAGGGAAGGTGGGTTTTAATCTAAATATGGTAATACAGATAAAACAGCCAGCATATTCTCTTTAATAAATTTCTTCTGACAACTGAACCCACTTTTATTGGAAATATTTGTATATTTTAATGGTTATTTCAGAGTTATCAAGCTAACGATATCGTAGTTTAATCTAAGAATTTACTGATAGTTGCTATTTGACTAGGGGGAATAACAAACAGCGCTTAATATAAGATCCCTTCAGTCTTGACTGATAGTTGCTATTTGACTAGGGGGAACAACAAACAGCGCGTAATCTAAGATCCCTTCAGTCTTGACTGATAGTTGCTATTTGACTAGGGGGAACAACAAACAGCGCGTAATCTAAGATCCCTTCAGTCTTGACTGATAGTTGCTATTTGACTAGGGGGAACAACAAACAGCGCTCAATCTAAGATTCCTTCAGTCTTGACTGATAGTTGCTATTTGACTAGGGGGAACAACAAACAGCGCTGGCGGAGCTGGAGAGTAGACTCAAGGTGGAGAAGGACAGGGAGGTGAGCGCTGCTATCGCTAGAACAGAACAGGACTCTCTCGACAGACTCACCAAAGTTAAAATAGACCATGATAACGAGGTATTTAAATTTTATTTAACACTATTTTATTGATTTTAAGCTTCGCGATTTGGGCTGCAATTGTGCAATTGTGCAATTTGTTGCATATCGAGAAAATCTGCTAGAAAGCCGTGAAATGTGCCATATTTTGGGCCATTTTCTACTCGTGTCAATGTCGGGTTTCCAGAGACAAAATCAAATAGCAGACAATCCTTTAAAAATCATGCTTACTAGCAGCCATGGGGATAACTGTACCGATATTTTTTTTACAGTTGACAAGCCACTCTTGGGTGGTATATGGTTTTTGAAAGTTGCACACCGATAATTTATATGATGATTTATAACAGTATAAAAATGGAAAATAAACTACCACAATCACCAGATAACAAATCCAGATAGCGTAGAATAATGTATCCAACAAATGTACCACAGATCTTGTAGTACAAGGCAGCTGTAGCCACAGAGCAGGAACTATAATGAAGACTGTACTAAAGACCTAACTTAACACTTGACCCTAATAAATTGACCCTAATCTTACTTTAATCCTACCCTAATCCTACTTTGCCCCAGATCTCGAAGTACAAGGCAGCAGTAGCCACAGAGCAGGAATTATAATGAAAACTGTACTAGAAACATAACTTGACCCTAATTAATTGACCCTAATCCTACTTTGCCCCAGATCTCGAAGTACAAGGCAGCTGTAGCCACAGAGCAGGAACACACGGAGGAAGTGAAGTTACAACTGGAACAGGAAACCCACAACAGGGTCCTGGCAGAGGACAAACTCAAGGATGTTAAGGTATTGTTGCTAGGTTACATTTAGTAGGTTACAGTTAGTTGCTAGGTTTAGTAGGAGGGTACAGTTCGTTGCTGGGTAACATTTAGTTTTAATTTGTAAGGTAACAATTATCAGCCAAGCAACAGTGATAGTCGTAGGTTATATTATGGTTAGTTGCTAGGAAACAATTTTCGGTAACGTTACGTTAGTAAGCGTACCCTTTGAGCAATTCCGCCAAAAAACAAAACATGATGGGTGTCTCTCGTCTGATTGACGTCTTTAATCTACGAACCATGCATCTCTCCACGTTGACGTAGCCCAAGCTGTATTCCCAATGAGTAGCGGGACCTTGCTTTGTATACCCAGCTTGCAAGATATATTTACGTTTTTTACCCTGCAATTACTACAGCTTAACGGGAGTCAGGATTAAGATTGACCTGTGTTATAAAGATTTGGGATGGATTTAAATGGGTTCAGCTATAAATTCATATAACTTAGTGATGATATGAAATACAATCTTATTTTTCAGGAGGAGTTCAGATATTTCATCAACTCGTTACCGGGTCATGAGAACAGTTGCTACAACGCCGAGTACATGATTGCCAGATGAGCTACACTCAATTACCAGATAATCTAAAATTGATCGCTGATTTTGTAGATGAGAGTTCATTTTAACCACTGATGTAGACACTGAGAAAGGGTTTTCTGCACAACTTTCTGGAGCTTGTTCTACTTCAGAGTGTCAGTCTGAAAATGAATTTTTAAATGGCGATAAAGCAACATTTGGTAGTTTTATCATTAAATCTCTGGTTAAAGTCATGGTGTGAGTATTCGTTGCTTTTACTGTGAAAAGAGACGAAGGATAAGTAAAGATCATTCACAATTCAGTTATTTTGCGTTTAATTGCTTTATTCAGTTAAAACATAAGTTATTTGATTATAGATCGAAAATTTTGATGCCAGAGCATCGAGTAAATTAAAGATAAGATTGAATTTTAGGCTTTTTATTACACGCATCCAACCTTGTTCAGAAATGAGAAATTAAATTAAATTTTCCGGTTGCACCATAAATCGTTATTTAAATTATAACTGAATAGAAACTTGAAATGAAATCTTTAATCGTCTGTGGAATCAACACGCTAAATATAGGGACCCTTATCAGATTGCAGAAATAAAAAAGTAAAAATAAATAACCACGCAGAGGACAGTGGATTACGAGTACAACGACATTTTTTATTTTTGTTCGGATTCCTTTGCTCAGTTAAAAAAATTGCATTATATTAAAAGTAACTCTCGATACGATCGTATTGAGTAAGTGACTTACTAATTACTTCAAAAATAAAAGATAAACGTTATTAATTTCATGCATTTCTCCCTAATCTGAATCAGGAATAAACAACAAAATTAAACTTGTTGTAGTGTACTGGTACATCTTTATTAAAATCACAACTATGTTTTACATTTATAGAAAAAATAAGTTTGGATTGTTTGTTAACATAACGTTTTGTAAACACTCGACAACTTACAAAAGGAACCGCTCAACGCTTACGAATGCATAAGAATTATAATGACCATTGCAGACCACGCAGTGCAATGTGCAGTGGCGTAACGTTGCTTGCTGGCGCCCCCTCCCCCCCCCGCTGAAAAAGCGCCCCCCTTTAATTGGCGCCCCTCCCTAAAAGTGAACAAATTAGATGATTTTAGAGGATACAACCCGACACCGGTAAAATCTCTAAAAATGTGTGTTTCTAGAGCAAAACGCGCAGTTTTGCTAGTATAGTACCGTAGTTAAGTTTTTCGTAATTTTGGTGCCCCCCTAAGATTGCCCCCTCCCGCACAGCGGGGTCGGCGGGGCCCTTCGTTACGCCACTGGCAATGTTCATCAGCAAAGACCAAACCGCTAAATAAATTAAATGAGGAGATATACTTTAATTAATGCTATTTATTAAAATTACTTGTATACTATATCAAGAGAACGAGAGAAGTGGAAAATACGTTACTTCCTTTGTAATTCATAACTGACATGATATCCTGGCTCCTCAAGACTCACGGAGAGTTAAACTATATTTGAACTGTCTCTAAAATAACAGTGAGCCCGATCATTGCCTACCAGTTCGTAATGTTTCCACTAGCCAGCCAAAATTTACCAAACATCATTAAACCTTTAATATTTTAAGTGGAGTGATTAATAAAAATAAAATCATCGTGCTATCCCTAGATTCTGCTTGCTAAATACTGTGAATATCAAAATTATCTTACTCTAAAACAAAATTATGTTCGATCACACAACAGAACCTTCCTTTTCCTTTCTTTTTATACTATCTTCTTCTTTATTGATATTCTTCGCAGGGAGAATGTGTCTTACAAAAAATAAAAAAGTTATGTACTTGTAGAATGTAGACGAGATCAATTTTTGTGACCATGTCGGTTTCAGACGAGTTTATTTTTACTAACGGGTGTATACTGTTCAGTGGCTCAGTGGATCCACTTTCAATCACAACCACCAGTCTCTGATTGTCCATTGTTATTGTTAATGGACTTATCCGCCTCGGGCTAACATTTCGTGAAGAATCAAGAAAGCGGGCTAAAATTTCGAGAAGAAAGTGGCGCTCGCTACTTCGAAGAAATTTAGACGAGTAACATCCGTCAAATCTTTGAGCAATCTGGCTGACATTTTCCAATATTCCTCTTGAATTTATAATTAAATTTCTGAATAGGTGAGAGCAGCGCCAACACAGCTGCACAAGCTGTAAACTTGGTATAAGCACTTATCCGTATTCCGAAAAATACTTTCCGTGTTACATATGATGATAATCGTGTCGTTCAAGATCTGTATTGCGGTATTTACATAATCGTGTCGTATGGCCAGAAAGAGAATTCTATTAAGTTTGGAGCAAATTCAAACAAAATGTCAGTTTGGCATTTTTCCAACTCTTACTAAATCGATGCACGATTCGATAATTATTACATCACGCACTGATCACTACCAGCTTAGGATCTACTATTAACACGTAACAGCATTATTTTAAGTTACTTTGAAGTTTTTTGCGAGACATGTATACAGGAGCTTCTTTACAAAGTGTTTCTATAAAGTTTTTCTAAATGGTAAAACGTAAGCTATTTACGAATCATGTTTCGGCCTAGATCAGAAGCCACTAGTCACTACCGGTCGGAGATTCAGAGAATCAGTCAAGTCTGGAAATCTTCCGGATTTCATAATTTTAAGCAGATTGCTCTGAAATTTAGATATTCAAATTTACTTTCGGCCATGTATTTCTGTTTTTGTTTAGCTGTTACCACTAACAAAACCATATGTGATGACCGAGAAAATCAACAATAAAAAGATTAAATTACGTCCAAGGTCCAGGTTAGAGACTAAAGTAGGTACATTGTACAAAGTCTTTTGCACCGTGTAACTGTAACCTGATTCCCTAACGTTGGCTTGTCCAGTTATCACATATCTTTAAGGGCCAATCTCCGCCCGCGGGAGTACCTACACGGACACATCCTCTCAGCACTTTTTAGGGTTTGTGGAGACGATATCTGCAGTAATTTCATTTGTTAGGACTTTACTGTATACCGTATATGTCTAGGTAATTCACATTCAATTTTGTTCTGTGTGTGCTAATTAGTAAGTTGAGGTGGTTTTGTTTTGCATAATCGTATTTAAATTTTTAGTTTGATTAGAACCTACTATTTTTAGTGCCGGCGATATTTCTAAAAATGGCAAATTGCTGAAAACGGCTGAAGATAAAGTTGAACCATGCCAAAAACAAATGATGGAGTAGTTTGTTGTTTATTGCCGATAACAAGTTACCACATTCAAGCTCGGAAGTGAACTCATGAGTGACTGGAACTTGGAAGGTTGAAGTGTGATTTGATTCAATTCAAAATTAATCTTGGGCTGGCAGCTGTGCAGCATTTGTTTGGACGACGAGCCGAAAATCAAATTAGGCTTAAATTTAATAATGTAAAGCCATAGAAAATCAGAGGTAGGTATCTGTTTACAGTTTACTATCTGTTTACAGTTTACACTGATATCCACATAGTTTACTCAGATATCTACATAGTTTACAAAATATGAGCTGCATTTAAGCTGTTTGATAGAGCATACTCGTGGGAAATGTATACCATTTGTGTATGGACGTGTATACCTGGAAATCAGATTAAAACGCGGAGCGTGTAATTGAAAATAGCTCCGCAGCTCTAGGTACGCTATAGCAAAAGTAGGATGTTGATTGTGCGACAGCTTTAAAGCTTTGAAGTCGTAACCACATCTTCATCAGTATTGCTATATCATCACGTTTAAATCTTTTATTTCTCGGCTTTTAGTTTTAAATATTTTCTATTTTTCTGAAGTCTTATGAGAGAACCTTTTTCCAATGGCAAAATGAGTAGAAACCCAAATGAGTACAACTGTCAAAGTAAGAAAAGGCCAGAATATGACGTGCAAAGTGTTTTCCTTCGTTTGCTTGTTAATTTTTACTTTGTTGCTGTTAGTGTTTACTTGTCCTCATCAAAAGTAAAAACTTAAACCAAATGCCCGAAAAACTGAATTTCTACCAGACCTGATTCTTTTGTCTCTTTCTCTCACCTCACATCAGCTCTGGGAGCGGAGATACTGACGAAGACAATAGACCATGAAGAGCACGAGAGAATACGAGCAATAGAGGAGGCGATAGAGAGGACGAGGGTTGCAGGAGTGGAATCTAAGGAGATAGCTCTGGAGAAGTTAGCTAGGAAGTGCGCCAAGGCACAGAAACAGGTGAGTTTAATTTCATGGAGTAAGTTAGTACTTATAGCATGAATTAGAAGTATTTATAACATAGAATAGGGTCAGTCGGCATGACCTAGAAAGAGATCAATACTATCACTCGGGAACGTGGTTATGACCTAGAAAGATATTAATACTATCACTCGGTAACGTGGTTATGACCTAGAAAGATATCAATACTATCACTCGGGAACGTGGTTATGACCTAGAAAGAGATCAATACTATCACTCGGTAACGTGGTTATGACCTAGAAAGATACCAATACTATCACTCGGGAACGTGGTTGTGACCTAGAAAGAGATCAATACTATCACTCGGTAACGTGGTTATGACCTAGAAAGATATCAATACTATCACTCGGGAACGTGGTTGTGACCTAGAAAGAGATCAATACTATCACTCGGTAACGTGGTTATGACCTAGAAAGATATCAATACTATCACTCGGGAACGTGGTTATGACCTAGAAAGATATCAATACTATCACTCGGGAACGTGGTTGTGACCTAGAAAGATATCAATACTATCACTCGGGAACGTGGTTGTGACCTAGAAAGATATCAATACTATCATTCGGGAACGTGGTTATGACCTAGAAAGATATCAATACTATCACTCGGGAACGTGGTTGTGACCTAGAAAGATATCAATACTATCACTCGGTAACGTGGTTATGACCTAGAAAGATATCAATACTATCACTCGGGAACGTGGTTATGACCTAGAAAGATATCAATACTATCATTCGGGAACGTGGTTATGACCTAGAAAGATATCAATACTATCACTCGGGAACGTGGTTGTGACCTAGAAAGAGATCAATACTATCACTCGGTAACGTGGTTATGACCTAGAAAGATATCAATACTATCACTCGGGAACGTGGTTATGACCTAGAAAGATATCAATACTATCACTCGGGAACGTGGTTATTTATACATGCAGGGCTGCAATCGCACAGCTGACGAGAGGGACTTTCAATCAACCGAGAAAAGTTCAAAAAGACTGAATACACACAGAATAAAATTCCAAGAAATCCGTGACGAAAAGTAGTCCTTCTGTTGCGCTAAAGTAGCTCAAAGATTATGGCAGCTGTACCGTGAAACATGCCTTACCTTAATCGGTAATATTATGGGGGGTATAATTTGGTCCTCTTCGGGCCAAAGAACCATATTTATATCAGTCCATATTCTTACCCCCCATAATATTACCGACTAAGGTATGTTACATAAAGAGATATTATGCAGGATTATGCAATGCCCAGTCTGATCGGGGACTCCTAAAATGTTCTAGTTGA